TAATATGCATAATAGCATGAAGGAATTGCTTCATCTCAACATGTTACCGTCTTTATGGAAACGATCCCACGACGTCGAAGACCACAATGAAGACGCATCGTCACCTCGACAGATCCCCACCATCCAAGATCCTCATGCAATGCCATCGTGTTGAGAGAGTGATGTCCCAACACGTCAATTTTGGCTCCTCTCAGCTGTCGTGCAGCTCCCTTCGAAGCTCACTTAAGAAATGCAGCTGCTGATCGGTCGATTCGAAGAATATCGGTAACGACTGCGGCATCAGTCGATGGAAAGCAGCTGCTCCGCGGAGACACCGGAAGAGAAAGGGAAGACGAAGCAGATGCGGGAGGAGCCATGGCCCCAAGCGAGAAAGGGAAAGTCGGACTTACTGCTTGCCTTTATGTCCACGTCGTTCGGGTGCATCAATTGGAGTGGCGCTGTGTGCTCTATGAGCATTTTAATACGAATTTTGTTGTGGGGGTTTGTTTACACTTACCTTCCCGTACGACCCTTCTGATCCCACCTTAAAGCCCCAAATAATTTCGGCCCGAATTCCGGAGAAATTCCTCTCGGTTCGTTCCACGTTTCAAGCAAAATTGTTCAATTCGTTCCTCGCCGCCCAGAGGAAATGGAATTGAACGCGACCACCTCATCCAGATTTCTGGCCCCCAATTGAGGGCTTCAATAGCTTTTGCATCTAAAAATAGTTTGCCGGCAAAAGTTACCGGCTAACCGGCAAGAAAGCCTCCCGAGTGTTTGCAGCATGGCAATCGGGAAGCCATCCGGTATAATCTAGTCGTTCTGTTAGTTCCAAGGCCACCATTACGTAATTTCAAGCAGAGTCTTTGAAACGCGGAAGGGTCAGTCCGCAAACGGTCTCGTTTTAGAAGCACCGGTTCCATCAATGGGTGTGTGGCGCAAGAACGGCACATGCATCGCTGACCCCGTTGACGACCGAGCCGAGCCTTACCGCTTTCGTATATGTCCGCCTAATGGAAGCCGGGCTGTTTGCCATGCGGCAACCGTGCTAGTCCAATCTCGCCCGTCTCGCGGGGCCCCGGGAATCTCGAGAAGGAGCATGCGCAAACGCTTCCGCTCTCTCGAGTCCGCGGAGAGAGTCGCCTAGAATGTATCCGCCGTTTTTTTATGCGTCGAGTAAGCATGAGATCGGGTTGAGGACAAGATGGGGTATCGACGGATGGTGCTTTTTCAATGAGATGAAGCAAAAATAACATGCAATATTCTTGTCAGCTTCTCTCTGAATGTCGAAAACTGGAAAAAAAAAGGTCCGCTTTACCAGAATGTGTGAAGTCAGCATGAGTTATTCTGAACGGTGGATGGGAATGGCCCGGTGAACCAAAATTTTGGCGGCGTATCGACCATCAGCCCTTCTCTCCCCCCCTCCCCCACCCATCCCTTTACTTGATATATTGCCTTTTTTCTCCCGCGATTCGGTGTCGCAGAGGCATCTCTGCGCGGCGAAAATGTCTCGTTTCCAAGCTGGTCTATCTTCCTGGTCTTTCGACTTCCCAGTTTCAGTCTTAGCAGAATGTTTATTTATCGGCATCCTATGGCGGCCGGCTACTAACAAAAACATTTGGGAGACAAACGCGGAAACCGTGCCTTACCTCGAATCCATTCGGTCCTCATCTAGCAACGTTCGACTCGGTTCGCTCCAGTACTTTTCGGCACATCGATCGAATCCACCTCATTCGTACCGAATCGGTTCCACGGTCTCGCCGGAGCGGCCTTCTTCGCATCCCTCCGTCGACTCCATCCGAAGCGTCCCGAGGCCGTCGTCTTCGCCTCTGTCAAACGCACCCTCGAAAGCCGGCGATTCGCGACGCCAGGACGAAGACGGGAAGGACGTGGACGCCTCGGGGTCTCCCGCACCCGCTTCCCTCCGCCTCGCCTGCACCGACGGATCCGAACATCCGCTCCCCTCCGTTGGGGTAGAAAGTGCGGAGAGGCTGGAGGAGCTCCCGTTCCAGGATCCGAAGGGAGAAGGCCTCGGGTCCCGCCATAGAGAGTCTCCTCCTCGCGGTCCCGCAGACGCCGCGACCGAGGAACTCGGTCCCCGCGGGGCACGTCCGCTCCGCGGCCAGGAGCGCGCCGCTTCGCGGTTCCCGCCAGCACGTCACGTACCGCGTCGGATCCCGAGGGTCCCCGAAACTCTCTCCCACCCGACCGCACGTCGCGTTCCACAGGCCGTCGTCTGAGGACAGTCGAGAGGAATCCCCTCGTTAAGTCTCGGCGGTTTACGAGCGCGATTTCTTTCCTATACGGCACGAACGGCAACAATATCTGTAAACCCGTCAGACCGACTTCGTTCGAACGGGGAAAATCATCCCAAATCATGGAACGCGTATCCTTCGGGGCAAAACGAGACTCGAACCGGTTGCATTTTAGGCCACGCTCGAACGTCATCTAGCGTTTTTCGTTCCCGAATACCTCGCCGAGAACGACGGCAGAACGAGGACGGAGTGCAGCCCTGGCGATCCTCGTCGAAGAATGTGCCGTCGGGGCAGACGACCGACAGAGGCGGCGATCCGTCCTTGCACACGACCCCCCGGTAGCAAAGCCGGTCGTCCTCCCACCATCCTTCCTCCTCGCACGATTCGGCCTTCCTTTCCGCCGCCTCCGTTCTGCCTCCCGAGAGCAAAGCGAGCAGGAGACCCAGAAGAGCCCGCATTTTTCGACGATGGACCACCTCGGAGGAACCGACGCGAAGAGAAAGAAAAAAAAAAAGGAAAGGGAAAAAACGAAAATCTCGGTCGGCCCGGGAGAGATAAAGAGGTCTGTGCAACGTCGCCCGAGCCGGAACGCTACGGACATAAACGAAAGCAGTAAGTAGAGGGCATCTGTTTCGTCTTCCGTGCGGACTCGTCGGCGATCGTGCCCGTGCCGATCGGTTTTATTCGTAACTCGAGAAGTCGAGCCTATTTCTCGCTCCGTTTTGTGATGCAGTGCGTAAACCGTCAGGCTGCGATGCTGCTCGTGCTCTCACCGGTACTCTCACCGCTCGACAGTCGGTCGGACTGCCTCGACGGACGTTTCCCTCTTTCCTCTTTTTTCGTTGTTGCACCCATTCCATCGTGACGAAAGAAAGAAATCTAGTCCGAGAGCCTAACGAGGTGGGCTTGCCTGTCGTCGGAGTTCCCATGCCTCGCAATTTTCCACTTATTTGCTCTCGAGGAAACGTGCGCCTAACGCAGTCGAGAGAGGTTTCGCGGTCGACGGCTGAAAATTTAGAAGTCGCCAAGAAACGTTTTTGTGGGTTTCACGCCGTCCAAAATGTTTGCTCTCCGGGATTCGTTCCTCGAAAAGAAAGAACGACGGTCGGAGTGTTGCATTCCCCTTCTCGGCATCCGTTTCGCGTCGTCTCGCTCGGGACGGCGGGAGGCATCCGTATCGGTCGGTCGGGAAGGGGTTTACCGCCCGGATACATGTCCGAGGCTTGCAGTACCCGCTAATTCGCGATTTGTCGCCCTTTCATCGGGGCTTTTTCCTTCTTCTCTCCTCCGTGTTCTCTCGCCTCCGTCCGATCGGATCCATCGCGAGGCGTCTCGCGCGAACGAGGAGCCTTCCGCGCGTCTCGCGTCTCCGTTCGTCGAGGGCCGCCCGGAAGATCCGAGGCGATTCGAGGGTAGAGATTTTATTGCGTGCGATGTTCCCGTACTTTTGGGATTTGGCGAGACGAGGACGAACGCAGTGGGTAGGCCATAAGCGGGATAACGAGGATCGGGAGCAGTAAGTAGGCCGGGATCGACGGTAAGCCCTCTATCGGACGTGCACGAGGTGGATGCCTCCGACTCGGCCTCCGAGGTGCGATTCCTTCACGGTCAGGTACACCAAGTCGTCTCCGCGTTTCACGAACCCGGCGGCCCTGCCGATCCGGGCCGCCAGGGCCGACTCCCGGTCGATCGTCGATCCCTCCTCTGTCGATCGACGATCCGTGAGCGACTCCGTTTCCTCTCGTTCCGAAATTCGGACGGGCGGGACGAACCCGGGACGACGACGGGGACGATCCCTCGCCGGATGCGATCCAGTCTCCCTTCCTTCCGGGACCGGACCGCGTGGAAGACCGGGCAGCCGGGTCGGATCCTCGCCAGCGCCTCCGCCGCGTCCGGTCGGCACGACGACACCACGATCCCCCTGGCCCGACTCCGATACGCTCGCGTCCTCGCGGCCGCCAGCACGCTCGCCAGGTGGATCTCGTCCTCGCTCGCCTGCACCGTCGCGCGACCGCGTCTGCGACCTCCATTCTCGCTCCGTTCTTACCCCGTCCTTTTACTTGCGGGCTCGGTAAGAACGGAGAGACCGGGGGAACGCGATCTCCGCCGGATTCCTCCGTTTCGACCCTTTTACGGGCTGGCCTCTCCTCGCTGCTCGACCCCCCCCCCCCCTCTCGTCGCCCTCTCGTTAAAGTACTGCTCATCGACGGACTTCGGAACGGAATCGCGAAACGCCCTCGTCGCGGTGGCTTCACTCTCGGCTCGGCTCCCCGAGGAATCCGCCGACCTGCCGCTTTCGTCCGGACTCCGCGAGTTCGGTCGGTCGCATCGGAAGGTCCAAAACCAGAGAAGGCGGGAGATCGCGCTCCGGCTCTCACTCCGCGAACTCGCGATCGCGACCGATGCTTCCGTCACCCGAGAGCCTCACCGGCGTGGTGCGGCGAAAAAATAGTTGCGGGCGTGCGAAGAAGGGAAAGGAGAAATGGTTCCTTCTGGCCCGCATGGAACCGCTCCGAAAATAAAATCGTGAATTACGAACGAGAACGAAAAGAAATTAACGCCCCCACCGGATGTGGGCGTTATTTCTTTTTTTCCAAAAACCTTGTATATAAAAAAAAAGTTTAAATTTGAGGCTCGATTCCCCTTCGAAGAGAAAAAAGCAGCGGATCCTTCGGGAAGGAATCGCCGCCGCACCATCCCTCATCGGGGCGACGGCAGGACCCCGCGAGAAAGGGACGAAACGCCGCCTCCTCGTCCGCGAAAATCTCACCGCGGAAGGGAAAAAGCGAGAAGAGAAAGACGCACGCGTTCGAGGGGCTCCGGGACCCGGTCATCGCGGTCTCCGTTCGCCTCGACCGCGGCGCATATCTCGGCCGCGATCCGGACGGCGAGGACCGGACGTTCCCCGGCGGCCGTCTCCGCGCCGAGCATCACGCAGTCCGCACCGTCCAGCACGGCGTTTCCGACGTCCGACACCTCGGCCGACGTCGGCAGCGGGTTCCTCGCCGTCGGGTCCATCGTCTGCGTCGCGACGATCGCCGGCTTCCCCGCCTGGACGAAAGCGGTCGTCACTCGCGCGAACGCGGAAGCGACGGAGAAGCGAAGCGAACGCGGACCGCGATGCACGCGGCGACGATGGACTTCCGATCCGCGAGGCTCTCGATCTCCCCGTTCGCGCCGAAGTCCCCGCGGGCGACCATCACCCCGTCCGACTCCGCGACGATCTCGTGCAGGTTCTCCAGGCCCTGCCGGTTCTCGATCTTGCTCACGATCTTCGTTCGTCCCGGTTTCGCCCCCTTCTCCTCTGCGACAGAACGAGGAAAGAGGAAATCGGACGAGAGTGAAAAAAACCGGAGGGAAAAGATCGCTCGCAAGCGATCCGGAGAAGCCCTTTCGCGGAGAGACTTTCGCGACGAGTCGCGGAGAGACTTTCGCGACGAGTCGCGGAGAGACTTTCGCGACGAGTCGCGGAGAGACTTTCGCGACGAGTCGCGGAGAGACTTTCGCGGATTCCATCCGCGACGAGTCCGGAATTTCCCGCGCGAGAGTTTCGACGCTTCGCATCGCCGTGGACGACGCGAGACCGCGATCGAACGGGAACGAACGGCACGTGCGTGCGGACGACGCGAGACGTGCGTGCCGTGAGGATTCCACGCGCATCGCTCGCCCCCGATCGCGAGGAAGAAAATCTCGGTCGCTTCCCCCGCGGTTCGCGCGGCGAAAGATGCTCGGACCGAGATCGCGTCGAGCGAGGAGAGGAGAGAGCATCATCTGCTATTTGCACGGGGAAAGGAGATGGCGAGGGAGCGAGGGCGATTCGGGGATCGGAACGGGAGGCGGTCGCCATACGCTGCGCCTGTGTTCCCCCCGAACATGCGTGATTGCGCGCGCTCGTCTCCGTGACGCATTCGCTCTCGACCGGACGGTACGGACATGACCGGGAGAGGTAAGGCCGAGACCGGGCGGTCGTCGCACGGCGACGAGCCTCCTCCGGCTCCCTCCGCGTCCGGATCGCTTCCGTGAGATCCGGACGCTTCCGTACGCTCCGGCCGCAGAGAGGGCCGCGAGGTCGTCGAGCGCGAGACGTTCCGGAATCGGAATCCCGACCTCGGACGGGACGGATCCGTCGCGGAGAAAGGGCGCTCGGGGGTTTTACCACGGCGACGAGCGGGTCTTCGTCGTCTCCCTGGGATTGGTCGCAGAGGCCTCCGTTCATCACCTCCCACCGCACCCCTTCCCACCTCCTATTCCAAGACTTTCGCCCTTCTTCCCCTTCTGCAGCCTCTCGACATGTACTCGAGCGGTGAGTCCCTCGTACTTCCGGGCATCTCGCGGCGTCCACGCGGGGTCCAACTCTCGTCGGAGATCCACGAACCCAAGACGCTGCGGATCTCGCGGACGCCGGCCGCGTCTCGGACGAAGGAAGCGAAGACGAAGTCCAGGTCGTGGGCGGCGGCGAACTCGAGATCCTCTTCGTCCTTCTCCGTGACCGCCGGGAGATCCACGGGGACGCCGGGCAGGTTCACGCCCTTCCGGTCGCCGAGGCACCCGCCGTTCTCCACCTCCACCTCCACCGTCCGGTCGTCCACTGCGAATTTCCAACGTCGCGAGGAGTTTCATCGAGCGGTCGGAGAAGTTCCTTTCGTTTTCTGACGGGCTTTCGCCGGGTGAACGCGTCACCCTACGATTTTATTATTTATGGTTATCGTTTATCGAGGATGGGTGAATAGGATCGATCGACGAGAAATTACCTTCGCGAGTTGCCGAGCGACGTTCGCGAATCGAATACATATCGAACGTCATCGCTGCGGGGCGTCGGCTTCGGCGACGAAAGGAAAACGGGGATCGAACGGCCTACCGTTCCCCTATATGATCGTCGCATGCCCGTTGTACGTTTTCGCGCTTTCAGCGCCGCGCTCTACCTCCACGCAAGCGCCCGCCGTTCGTTCCGCTCGTTCGACGCTCGCGACGGACGCCTCGTCCGTGGCTCTCCGCGAGCGTCTCGGCGACATCGCGCGCGGAGCCGAGACCGCGACGCGTCCACGCCCGATTCCGGCTCTCGTTTCGCCGGGGACTCGCCCTGCGACGGGAACGACCGCCGGTCTCCGAGAGGGAGGGCGAGGAGGGCAGACGCTCCGAGAGGGAGGGCGGGGAGAGCAGACGCTCCGAGCTCCTCTTGGAACGAGGAGAGAGACGAAGAGAAAATTCGTCGGGATTCCTTCGATTCGAGGTTCCGCGTTCGTCTGCGACTCCACGGTCCACTCGAGGCCTCGTCGGGTGGAAAATTGCCGTGGATGCGACGGACTGCTCGGTTTCGTTTCTCGCACGGCAAGATTACGCGGCGCGAATCGCTCTCTTTTCGGTTTTTCGTCGTCGAAGGCGGTCGCGCGTGGCGACCGGAATTCATCCGGTCGATCCCGGTCGTCGAAGACGAGAGTCGCGAAAAACTCGCAAAAACCCGCTCGTGGAGTGCAAAAGAGAGCCGCCGTTCGTCCGGGTCTCCGGAAGCACGATTCGAGCGCGAACCGGAGCTTCTGAATGAATCGCGATCGATTTCCTCCTCGGACTGGCGCTCGTCGCCGTCCCATTTCCTCGCTATTCGGAGGCAAGCGATTTCACGTCGTCCGTGAAATCAAGCGAAATCCTTCGGTCTCGTCTCTTCTGGATCCCTCGTCGGATCGTCGAGCGGCGAGGGGTGTCGTTCGGACGGACGTCGCGGAACGTCGAGATCGTTTCTCACGACCGGCGTCGTGGTCCGTGCCGGCGAGGCGTAGCCACCGGAACGGAGCCGGAGTTTCTCGGTGACGCGTTCGCCCCGTCCGCCCCCTGCCGGCGCCGCGAGAAACGGCTTCCCGTCCCCTCCCGTCGACACGGCGAGGGTCGGAGAACGACCCGAACGACCCGGGGTCTCGTCCCGAGCGCCGAGAGACCGCCGGCGAGGCGACGGACGTTTCGCTCGAGAAGAATCCGCTCGGACGTCGCGTCCCGTCCGCCGGACTCGATCTTCGCTTTCGGTTTCCTCGAGGGAAAAAAAAAGCTCGGGAATCGGAATGCCCCCAGATCGTTTCCCCCGTCCCGGATGCTCGCCCGGCATCCGCAAGGCAGAGACGAGCGAGTCCCCGTCCGACGCGAACGGGAGCCGCCGCGAAGAACGTCGCCGCGAAGAAAAGGCGTCTCGTCCACGCAGCTCCCGTCGCGTCGTCGGCCCCCGACGAGACCCGGCCGTCGCGGTGCGGAGAAAACGCGGAAGAACGCGAGGTCCTTCCGTCCGTGCTTACCGCTTCCCTCTATGCTCTCGCGGTTCTCCCCGCTGGTTTTCGTGCTTCGTTCCTTCATCGATCCTCATCGCCCCCCTTCCGTTTCCCGCCTTTTTACCCCACCTGGCCCCCTTCCCCCGGTCTCCCGCCGATCCCCTCCCCTCCCCTCCCCTCTTCCCCTTCCACTCACGGACGTTCCGCACGACGAGGGAGAGGAGACCGTCGTCGACGAAGATCCTCTGCCCGGGCCGGACCGCCGTCGCCAGATTCGGACGATCCACGTAGATGAGCCTCTCGCTGCACGCGTCGGAGCGAGCCGGGTCCGTCGAGACGATCGCTCTCCTTCCTCTCTCCAGCACGACTTCCTTCCCCTGTCGACCGTCTCGCGTTCGCGAACCCGCCGTCGTAGGGGGCCCGACCGACGCACGCGAAAGGGCTTCGCGCGGGCCTCGAGGCCGTCTCGCGACGGACCGGAGACCCGGCACCGCCTTCGCTCCGACGTCCCCCGTCCCGATTCCGCGTACGATGCTTCGTCCGCTACGTCGCTTACTCCGTCCCTCGAGAGCGTCTAGCGATCGGTCGACGGTAGACGCGTTTCCGCTATAGCGAAAACGCGTCCGACCGTTTCGGCCGAGGAGACGAAATCCGGCTCTTCGGCCGACGAAGCCGGATCGTCTTTCGCTTCGGGCCGGGCTCGGGCAACGTTCGAGCGACGGTGACGAGACCTACGATGCACCCGCGGCGTCGCCGCGCGGAAATACGAGGGGGACGGTGAGTCGCGTCGGCTCCGTCGGAATCGGACGCCGGACTCCGGCATCCGGACGACGATCGAGCACCGACGAGCGAAAAATCATCCGAGCCCTCTTCGAGTTTCCCCATCCCACGATGGATTTAAAAACCGTGGCTTTGCAGACGCGCGATCGAGAGGGTCTCACTAGAGACATCTATCGGCCGACCGGGAAACGATTCGTGGGACTCCCCACGGTCTACTTCCATCGGAACGGAGCATCCGAAACCTTCCTCGTTTCTCATCGATTCTCGGACGGAGTCGTGACGGCTGGCTCGTCGATGCTTTCAGGCCGAAGCGTAAGCGAAAAACCGGCCGAGAGAAGCATCTCGGACCGATTAGCGTTTAATCTACCTTCGCGAACCGCCCGTGCGTCTCCGTGTATTTTCTTCGCAGAGAGAAAAAAAAGAAATCCGAGGAGTTCGTCGGAGGCGTTCTCGGACTCGGGATTCGACCGACGAGAATCGTTCGTCGACTGGCGAAACCCTTCCTTGCCTTTCCCGGGGAAAGCCGACGGGTGGCCATCGCACCTTCGATCGACGCTTCGCCCACCCGCCACCATCCGGCCCGGTAAAATCCGTTCGACCACCATCCGGCTCGCCATTTTCGCTCGCGACTTCCCTCGTTCCCGCCCCACTCGGCCTCTTTCGACGATCGGGTGCCTCGGCACCCGACGGTCGAAAGGACGCCGTCGAGATGCAGAAAGATCGCTCCGGTCCTCCGCGAGGCGGATTCTTCTCCGGACTCGAACGGCAGACGACAGACCGGTCGGACCCGGCCGGTGCGAATCTCCGGTCCCTCGGTGTCGAGGGCGACGGCGACGCAGTGGGCATACCCCGTCGCCTCGTCCGCCTCCGCCTCCGCCTCTCTCACCATCCTCAGCGTCTCCAGGTGATAGTCGTGCGTCCCGTGCGAGAAGTCGAGTCGCACGATCGTGGCGCCCTCGCGGTACATCGCCTTCAGCGTCTCCACGCTCCGCGACGCCGGACCTGTGCGGGAAGACCCGAATCGGTTCCGATCCTCTTTTCGACGCGATCGTTCGACCGTACCGACGGTGCAGACGATGCCGGTGAGCTTGGGCACCTCGGGCCCGAAGGCGGTCCCCGGGTCCCCCATCTCGGGTTCGATTTATCGGAGAAAGGAAAGTTTCGCGATGGGGTCCAAAAAGTCGTCGTCGTGGAAACCTAATCCGCAATCGAATTCACCATTCTTGGCTTCTTCCAGAGGGATGGATCCTACGTCTCTCGTCGTCGCGAAACATCGATGAGCTTCGTCGAACGTGAGTCGGCGTCGTGAATCTGGCAGGATTCCCTTACCCCTTTTTCATCGTGCCTCGTCTCTTCACGCCTCACTGTGGGGCGAAAATATATTTTTCTCTTCGCCTCGATCGTGGCTCCTCCAAAAACGAACTCTTCGCGGCTTGTAATTAAAAAAATTCATACAGTCTAAGGTGTCACGACGTTGGGGGAGTCGTCGCCATGGAAGTGTCAGGCGGAGAGAGACTTGGCACAAGCTTGGCTTCTCGACGTTAGGTCTCTCGCTTGCGAACGGCTCCGATTCCTGCATCTGGCCGATCTCTCCGCTCTGCGTGAGTTTTCGCTTCCGGCCCAAAATCGAAGCAAGTCAAGGACGGCAGGAACGAAACTGCCGAAGGCGAAAATCCACACGATCCCATCTCCAGATACGCAGGGACGAGAGATCGAGATCGCATGATATCCTCGTAGGAAATCGACCTAAGGGAGGGGGACAAAAAGCGTCGCTTTTCTGGTTTCGTAGCCTGGAGCTACAGACGTCAGACTCGGAGAGTGGATTCCGTTCCGGCAGCCACTGGAAAGACTCTGCGCTGGGGAGCGAGGACGTCCTTCCTGCGTCTTCCCACCCCATCCACTGCAGTGTGTGCACTTCGCCTCCTCCTCGTTGGGTGAATGCGGTTCTCTTTCCTATCGCGAAAGGAGGGATGGAGCAATCGCGTGTCTGCGGGTTCGCGTCACGCACCATCGTGTGCCGCGAGCCTGCCCGGTGTCACGTTTCCATCAAGCGGGGTCGCAGTCCTTGCCCTTTCCTCGTCCGTATCGAGGGACGATTTCCGTCTACATCTTTGTACACCGGATCGCAAAGTGAGTCCACTGACGGGGGCTATAACGCATAGGTAACAAGGTGTATTATGGCGCCATCGCGTAGATATGACGGTGGCGTGTGAGAAATCGATTTTACCATTTACCCAATACTTGCATCAGAGTGCCACCGTTGTAAAATACCGGAATTAATCAAGAAATTGGTTTGTGTAAAGATGGCAGGTCGTGAAGTTTTTCTGCTCGAATGGCATGACCTCGATGTAATCGGTGGGCAAGATTTGGTAAGTGCTGTTTTCGTGCGATGATTGCACCACATCCCCCCCCCGGGCAAGAATTCGCTGAGCAGTGCAATCGATTCTCCGTGTCACGTCTCATACCTGTGCGATGGCACCATCATGCACCTTACAGATCACGTTCTGAACCGGGACACACAAGCCCTAATTCTGAAACCTCATTTAGACTAGATCGAGGGGCTTTCGAGCTCGTTTTGGTCCGTAGAAGTCCATGCATTCTCGAAGGACCGTTAACAAAAATAGGCTTCAGCTTCGGGCCCGACGTTTCTATCACCCCGTTTTTTCGTTTCCGTAGTGCAACCGGTGACTTCACCGCTCGTCTAATCCGTTCGAGGCCCGATGGGTTTCCTGTTCCTGTTGCCGAGACCTGCCGTGGAGGTCACCTTCACCCGACCGTTTCGAAGATGCGGACGAGATCGGAGAGGATGAAGAAGGCTGGATCCGAGTTTGGGTCTTTCACCTGCATCCAGGTGCCGCCGGTGTGTGAGTTGCTTGCTTCTCCATTTCAAAACCCTTTCTCTGGTTCTCTTATTTACTGCTCTCACGCAATTATTGCTCGTTCTCCTTTGTCAACGATGGCTTAGTTTAACTACGAAAACCGGCATGGAAACGCCGGCGTCGATCGGAGGCAACCGACCCTAACCCCAGGCTGTGGACACCCCGAAGCGCGTTGCGTCGGGATCCAGGAAGCCCGAATTTTTTTTTTCAGAGACAAAAAGACTTTGCTATGCCCAAATGCGATCGGTAGCATGCATAACCTGTACGGCCTCCTTATGCGTCTGCAAGGATGCGGACTCAATGGGGTACAATGAGATACAATTTTTCGTCAAGGTTCACAAATTTTTTTATTTATTGTCGAACCATGAAATTACGTAGCGAAAGTAAATTCTGGTCAATGGGCAGGGCTTCCCAACCTTTTTCACGCACGACCCCAAAAGTCACGATCATACCATTCGGGACCCCAAGCAATGGCCGAAGTTCGACAGGCTCACCCCACCTATGCGCTAAAATAGACAAGAAAAAAACATAATATGGCATTTACAGTAATTGCCGGTTCGTGACCCCAAATATGATCTTTGGTTGGGAAGTCCTGTTCAAGGGTGTAATAGGTCCTCAATGGACCCAACAATCCTCGTCCATCCAGTGAAGCATGTCGTTCACGTCGGCGAGGATTCAATCCTGGAAAAGCAAGGGAAGATCGATCCCTTCTCACACGAGCTACACGCGCAAACTCTGGTCCCCCCTGGTTTTTATACTAGCCTCCCCTTCATCAAGCCTGAGTTGACTTTAAGCAAGTGGCTCTGTTTTCCCGTCCTAATAATCAACGTTCTACGAGTCGGTGACACCTCCCCCTGATGTGGATGTAGAGTATGAATAGAAATGTGCGAAAATGAAGGTTAACAGGGACATAGGCGCAGAACCCAGGGGGGCAAAGGGGCATGTTTACCCCTCCCTCTTTGTTTAGAGCTGCAGCTGGGGGAGATCCCTGTGTTACCCCATAAGGGTATGGAGTGTGAGGGCCATGCCCAGTAACCCCCCCTGTCACTCTGCTACCATAATAATGCTGGGCTACCCCAATGGATTCCTGGAATAATTCCGTCCTTGATATTTCAGGGACATGACCCCCAATATTTTTTAGAAGTCGGCGCCTATGAACAGGGCGCAGTAAGGGGAGGGGAGACACAGGATAAGCATCCACTCTCGTCTGGTTCGTCTTAGTCTCTCTCCCATCTCGGGCCAGGTTGGACCTTCATCGTCCTCCCATGTCCCTACCCTTTTAAATCATTTTGCGCTCTTGTCTGCTCAGCTATTGTAATTAATGAAGTTCAGAGCTCATCTCTCTAAAAAAAAAAAAATAGGGTGGAAAAAGACCCGATTTATCAGTCCCGACGTCTGGGCCTTCTATCACGCCCAAACCATTGTTCGACAATTTTGAACATTGTTCAAACCATTTGTCTTCAAAAAGTACATTTTTTCTTAATTTTTATTGCAGTTTCAGTTGCTTGCACTCAACAACTCATACATGTCAAATATAGCTCTCATAATTGAGTTCAGTTAGTTAAAAAAATTCCGAACACTCGGTTTTTCATGAAGTCGCCCTTTATTTCATCGTTTTCTGGAGCTATTTCAACTTTATCGAATGATGACGTTCGCTCGAATACCATTCTGTTCATGCAACAAATCATGTTTCTGCAGGGAGCAGCACTTCTTGGAAGGAGAGGAGAGGGTCCAGCATGATAGTCGTCTCCTGAGTGTGATGGGGACTAATTTACCCAGCGATAAAAGTCCTTATGAATTTGTTTGAGTCCTGATGAAAGTCGAATGGTTTGAAGCTTGAGCATCGTTTCGTCCTTCGACACTCCACGGTCTCGTCTATCACGAATAACCGTCCCAAGCAGGAGGTAAACGGATAGACTTGCCTTATGGCATAGCAAAGAAAAAATTCGTACAGACCATCATAAGGAACCAATACCGGGAAAATGATTCTCTACTGTTGAGTCCGATCCTACGTTTTAGTATCTCGACGGCATTATAGACCCAAGAAATCACGAAAAGCCCCATATTTTGAAAGACCCAGAAGGAATCTTGCACCTTGGACACGGTTGCATGGAAGAAGGAACCTACTGGCAGTGTGGCGACAGAAGAGATGTTCTGCACGAGCAGTGCAGTGTCATTATTCTAGAACGTCTCGACTCTAGCGTTATCAAACTACGAAGTCGGTCAAGTTTTGAAGAAAAAAAATAAAGCTACAGGTGGGCGTCTCGCACTTTCCAGTTATGAAATGCTTGCTGTTGGAAACCGGGAGGATTTACGACTAGTCGCTTCATGTGCCAGGTGGTAAATGTACATGAGGGTTAGTTCTTTCTTTGTAGAAATGTTTGGAGTTTCGTTTTCAAGTGAGGAATGCATCAAAGTTGACATGGGAAGCTCGCTTCCAATCGTGCTTTTGCCCCAGGAGTTGCATAAAGAGCAAGCCAACACTAAAAGGGATACGTGATCGAATGGTGGCAGGGTATCCAGCAAATGAAGAGGGATGGATTTATTTACTTTATCTGTGTTGACGATGCTGAATCAAACGGTCAATAATCGTTTAGAGTATGACACTCTTTGAAAACAAAAGTAATAATCAAGCCACGATTGAACTACCCATACAAGAATTGAGAACTTTAGCAGTGATTTACCGAGTTCAGTCAAGTCTCCTTTACGGCAATATGAGGGATATAGAATCTCACTTCAGAAACCCAACATGTAAATGTGTAATGTAATTTGAGTGCAGCTTGTGTGATTCACTGAGGTACTTTAGAATAAAATATTCGAAGTTACAGCAATTTGTGCGTATTACAGCGAGTAGATGATAGTTCCACGAAAATATTCCAACTTCGGGCAATTATGACTTCGTTACCTACTGGAAATCTGGCAAACCTTTTAATTTTCCTATTTCAATAATTAAAGGTAACAAATACACTGCTGACGTTACGTTTTTGGCTTCAAGTCATAAGACCTCTCAACTAGTCGCAATGTGGTTTTTTTTTCCGAGGGATCACGAGGTTCGTACCTTTCAACGCCGTCAGACAGGATAGGAAAATGAAGCACGCCAAACGTTTTCATTGGAAATTAAAACATGATTTGCTACAGTTACAGGATATACTCGAGTCGTAATGTGGAGGGCAAAGCTACAAAAACCAACTGGCCCAATAAATAAACCAGGTTGAAAGCCAGCTAAGCAAAAGAAACTGAAAATTTTCTATTAAGACTTCATAGCTAACGATTTCAAGGTGTATCACACGACTGAAACGTAGAGGTCTGTGTAAAACTAATTCATATTAATGATGATAAGAAAAACTGGCAAGTTACAACAAGCCGTTACCAAGATAATTCCAAGGGTCGGGTCCCTTCCAAGCGAGCAGGAGCTGAGAATGATAATGCACGACCCTCACAAGTACAGACATTATATTTGTAACTAATAATGTACTAATATTCTGTGTGGAACAGACCACTAATCCTTGAAGCACCTCAAGAACCTTATCTTCCTCAGCTACTAGGATAACCGACATTTCATTGCTTGCCTGATTACTAGATATTGCGCGAACTATACTACTTAAGCTTGATGTTGCAAGATTCATATTGAGGGATGTTTACAAGTACGTTCCAGTGGTTGAAAATTACTAGGCCAGTAATTTTCGTGGAACTGGCTTTGGGGGCAGCATGATTCGCAAGAGCACAATTTTTCTGCCTCTCTTTTAGCATGTGCCCACGCAAATTCACCAGCGGCGCCAAAACGGATGAAGCAAAAATGGATGCGACCCTCAGTTATACTTGAGAAAGTGGAAATGACGCTTCGGCGTCTATTTTTGACGCTAGTGATTGACCCTTCCTTCTGAGGAGAGAACTAGAAACGAAAAATTACATGTTCCAACAGACATGCTTAGACATCAATGGCCATCGCCTTCATTATTTGCATGTTGCAAAGTACGTACATCAATTTCGATTGGATATTCTGAATCTGCATGAAAAATTACGTTCAGTAACGTATTTTCACCATATAATTTGCTATTGTAACTAAAATATCGACGAAAAACCGTGATCAGGCTCTGCTCCTCGGTCTGGTGAGCTTGTAGTCCATGTATCTTATGATCCATCTTATGAGAAAATACTGGAATTTCTCGCCTGGCATTAGCAGATGGGTACGGCACCTTGGGCGCCACAATTTGCATAGTGCAGAAGTCACGTAAGTGCGACGAGTTGTGCGACCCACGAAGTAAGATGAGTTGTGCGACCCACGCTGTTCACTACTTTAAAACGATGCATAAACGGCGTTGAATGGAGAATCCGCAGACGAACGACACAAACACGAGACTGCATTCTGGTAGAAGCGACCCCAGTGTCGAGTCTGCCCTTTTGTCCCGAGGCTGTCTTTCCGATTTTTTCACGCATTTCACGACGAAAAGGTCTAGACCTTCCCTAACGACAAGAAACATACAACCGGCGGAAACGGCCCTCGTGGCAGAGCGTCCGCGTGCCCGTCCGGGAGGCTGGGTTCGATCCCAGCCGCCGCCTCACCCAGGCCGTAATATGGGTACACACTCTCCCGTTCACTCGAATCAGGTACCATGGACGCTCTGCACCCGGTTCAATCGAGGGAGGGAAGAGTGCGGTAATTGGGGACGGAGCTCCCCAATTATTATTTTGGAAGGTGGTTCATCACTCTTGCACGGAATATTAATATTATAATTAATATAATGTGGCGAGTTAAGAGTTATGTATTCTCTTGAAAAAAAAAAAAAAGAAGAAGAAGAAGAAGAAAAAGTTTCATGAATGAAAGGTGTCCTACATGTCGATGTCGACGGCATCATCAAGGTCCTCACTGCAAAAGATGAAAAAAAAAACGGAAGCCCCTCCCACCATAGTCTAGGATTCTTTGACATCCATGACATCGTTGGGAGAGACGTCGGAGGCCCGCATGTACCTTTCCACGTAAGGCTTCCCGTGAGACCCCAAGGATGCATAGTCAGTCAGGAATGGAAGATCCAGCATCCCTGCCTTGAAATCTGCCAGGAGATACACCCAGCACTCCAGGACTCCCCCATCCGTGACCTGAATGGGTTCCTTGCGACGGATGTAGTGCTTTGGATACCCCTCCAGGATGTCCAAATTGGCCAGCATCTCCTCGTCTACTTCGTACACTTCACCCTTCACGTGCTGAATGGTAGGCACTGGCTGGTCAATTCGCAACTTTTTACCGCGCCCACTCCCCAATGCATCCGAAAGAGGCTCCACGGAACTCACATGCCCAGTGCCGGGAGCATCGAGGAGATACGGAATGTTGTACCGGGATGCTATGACCAAAGGAAACAGGGTACAGGTGTCACCGACTCCCACGAACCGCGAATTCCCCCGGTCGCTCTGGTCCAGCCAGTGATGATTCGGCTCTCCTCGCTTCAGCGTCCCGTAGACAAACACCCGGTCCCATCCCATTTCCTGGCCATTCAGCCACATCAATGCATTCACAAGTGCTACATTCATGTTCGAAAGGGCAAGTCGGGCAAGGATGGTGTCTCCCAAGTGAGCCCAGGGCAGGACTCACGTGCCATACAATAAATATCATGAGAAATTATCAGGAAGGATATGAGAAAACAGTCTCAAATTCTCATTCACTTTATTCTTCTATTTTTGCCGATGGCAATTGTAAATAAACTGGTTCCTTGCTCTCGCTTTCGCTTTCCTCTAGCATTTCACAAGCATGTTGATTGCATATACTTCGAAAACCTGAGTTTTTCCAAGTGCATACAATATACATGCTCTCCAACATAAAATCTATATGCTTTTCAAGCAGGTAATGATTCATCATTGCTGCATGGAAAGACACTGTTGCAAATAGTGAGATTTCACCCACACACTAAAACATTGAAGCATTAGCACAACTTCAAAAAAAGTTTTGCTTGCATAAAAAAGTGAGATTATAGTAGGTGGCCTTCGTGCACTCATTTGTAAACAATCTCACACTGAGATTCCAAAGATATCTGCATGAGAAAAGCTTACTGAACTTAGCTTTCCACCAAGCAGCTGATCACAATTGTGGAAAACCCAGGGACATTGACAGTCCAGAGTAGTGCAAGGAATGTGAGGGGGAAAAGCATATCACCAGAGAAAAAATTAAATTTGAAATAAACCAGCTCTACGATCACAGAAAAGGAAATCTTTTTGTTTGTCCATCACATAATCATGAAGAAGCTTCTGCACTGAACCCTTAGTAGAATCACACCTGAAACAAATTTTTTTTTATCATCAAACAATTGCATGGCAAGTTTTTAGTCTGAGGAAAGATGAATGATAACCGAAATTACCTGGGGGATTGGAAACTGATGGGAGTGGAACCTCATTGGTTATGTTTTTTCCAGGTTCTGTTTGATTGAATCATACCTGAGAGATATAATGCATAAAAACATATCACTCTGCTAATAACACAAGATTCAGGAAGAAGCATAATTATTTTAGAATTGAAACAAAAATTGCAGAATGAATCAAATAAATATTAATGCATAATTTATCATTGGTGACCAAGTATGAAAATATGCATAAATATATGTAAACATTTAAATAAAGGAAAAATAGTACTTTCAATGCTATCCCTTCAATATTAATATTATAAATACTTTACATTTTAATTCTGTGGCAGACTTTATCCTGCTGGTAGTAAGAACTTGGCTGTAAAGCATTTTAATGTCTAATGGCATTTATTGCTTACCTAATCATTTCTATGATATATGGGAACTCGCCTTCTTCATTAAAAAACTTGAAGCATATAAGTTTAACCTTCAGTTCTGAAATTGTGCCAAAAAGAAAAAAGAAAACCAAGCAAGAAACGAACTGAAAAAGACACTCACAGTTGGACCCGTTGAGGAATGACAATGGAACCAAGTGGGATGGTATGGCCCAACTCCTCCAAGCTCTTGATAAAGGCAATCTTCCGCCTGAACTTGGATGACACAAAGAGGGATGCTGTCTTGATGAGGATGCGAACAAGGAACGTGGGGTGTACAAGGTACAGTTTCTTCAGATTCTTGCGGAGGCGTCGGTCAATCATCTGATAGCAGCGCTTTAACCATGAGAAGCCAGGGATGCAGCTTTGAGCTGTCCCTCCATGGAGGTAGACTAATACATAGTCTTCTGCCACCAGTGCATCCAATGTTGTGAGGCAATACCTAAACAGCAGCCCAAGACAGTTTATGACAAGACATATACTTAGTGGGTTGAATGAATGCTTAAATTTGTACACTCCTAACAGAAAAAGACACAAGGTAGAATGTAATAACACATATTAGAAGTTAACCTCTGATAAGTTAAAGCCATCATTGTTCCAACATTTATTTATTAAACCACATTCTTGAATACTACCTTCAAACTCACAGAAATAGGTTGTCCATGACATAGCTGTAATCCCGCCGGCTGCGATCTGGGAGGTAGCATGCACTGAAGACAATTATGGCTTGAAGATTATCTCCATGCTCACTGTTCATGTATCCACCATGGGAGAGGACTTTTTTGTACGGTTCAATGACGCACATGTCGATGCGCTTCTCAATCCCTGAAACCACCACAGATCTCCAGTTCCGTTCCTCAGCAACTTCCACTTCCCTTGGGAGTGTTGGAATTGGGCTCTGGTTTGTTGGAGTTGGAGTTCCACCATCATCTCCATCGTCCAGGATTTCTGTCAGTTCCATCTCACTTATCTTCTCCATGATTGATTCCTCAATCTCATCAGGGGTGTGAAGGTCATCATCATCGTCGTCGAACGTCGCCGATGCCAGTGTTGTATCATCAGCAGAGATGTCAAAGTCTTCAGCCACTTGCAGCACCTTCCTCTTGATTTCTCCTCCTGACTCTCGTTTATCTAATCAATGATAACCAATATCCCAATCAATTTATAAAGACCAGACATTCTAACTAAGGAATACAGGAATATCTGAACATCACTTCCTTCAATAACCAAATATTCCCCTAGTGACTCACCACAGACCATCATTGCATGCAGACGGTCAGAAATGCCTCCATTGTTAGTGTAAGGTCTTTCACAAAAGATGTTAGTACAAGGTAACAAAGAAATGCATGGACACCCAACCAGATCAAGATCTATTATGAAAAGACATCCACTGATGGCAGTCAGTAGATCTTCCCATTATAACGACACCAATCTGTCACAACAAACTAAAAGTTTCTCTACCCCAACAGAGAAGAAGCACAAGAAACCAATGCAAATCTGCAGATTTGATGGACCTTGGACAAGCAGGCAGCCCCAAAGACTGTTGTTCATACCTTCCTGAGTATCTTCTTTTGTTTCTTTACGCACACAGAGAAGAGAGGCCTGGAGGTAGAGTTGTATGTCATCATCCAGGAAAGAGCAATAATGACTCCAATTCTTCAGAATGAAGTGGCGCTCCTGCACATCAAAAGTGGAACACAACTGCATGGCAAGGTCCAGGGTGATCTCATGTGGCTGCCACTTCTTGAATTCCTCCATCTTGGCCTTGACCTTATTCTTTAACTGTATCTCAAATTCCTCTTCTTCAACTGCCTCTTCAGTCTTCTCTTTTCCATTCTCACTTGCTACCACCCCCTTGTTTTCTTCACCCTCCTCCTCTAGTTTGATACTTCTGGTTTCCTTTTTATCATATCTCTCATCCTTTTCTCCACTGCTGTTCTCATCCTTAGATTCTTCTTCTGAGGCTGGACAGTGTATCATCAACTTCTCTGGCAAGGACATTTCATCTTCAGCTTGGTTGTTGTACAAGAAGGCTGAGTCAAGGATCTCTGACTTTTCCATGTCTGGTAAGGGGCTTTCTGCATCTTCTTCTTCAAAATCAGGCCACTGGAAAGAGCCTAATCCCTCATCGTCATCGTCATCAGGGGACGACTCTGGATGAGTGGTGCTGTCACCATCACCGAAGACCAACCTCTGACAGCCATAAGCACTTGTCTTCTTGATTTCCATTGGTTTTCCCTTGCTGAGGGGCATGGTTGCAGGAAGGAGTCTGGGGGGTGGGAGTTGTACCCAGGCTGGCAAGCGCTCAACCCTTGGGACTTGTTTGGCCTTTGGCTGCACAGGTACAACTTGAGAACGGAGACCAAATGTCAAGGTTTCCTTCTTGATTGGCCTGCGGTAGTTCCAACTCAGTGCCCGGGTACGGAGGGACTCTATTCGTTTTGTCAGTCCATCCCTCTCACTGGCACTCCTGTCTCGTTTACCTTGGCCTAACATATTGTTATTGAGCATCATCAATAGTGGCTAAATAATAGCTCATTAACTCCTAATCCAAAAAAACCATGCAGCTTTTAGCAAGTACAGTGTATTTCCATACAAAGCCCACATTTGTTTTTTGACTAACTTCTTTTGTATTGTATCATTTCAGTTTGTTGAGGTCTCATTCGAAAGGGCAGGGTTCCCCATTTGAACTTTATTGACATGTACAATATGAATACAGGTATGATCAATGGCATAAATGCCACTTTTTCAGTCTTTTCCAATAAAAACAATAATTTCTACACTTGAATGCAACAAAACACAGACAACATGAGTGGAAGTTAATTACTGCAAAGTTCAACAAGTACTCCAATATTCTGGATGCACTTGTGCAGCCTTCAGCAGTAGGAAGCAATGGTGTTCTCATGCATACCTAGTGAGACCTCTGTGAAGGCAATGGCAATGCATCATTTGGGTTTGCCCAGGTGGCTGCACTTGGAGCCACATTGTACCAGCAAACACAATGAACACATTCTTGGATCAAGAATAGAGGCATTTTCAGATCAACGCGGAAAGAACACGAGCTACAAATGAGCAATGAAACAAGACAGAAAAGGTGGCCAAATGTGCTGTGTCACAGAGGCACATAATGAAATGAGTGGTGTGCATGCCAACAGTGCTTTCTCAGCACTCACTCCATCAATAGATTAAGTTCAAAGTTTAACATGAGAAACCTTTCAAATGAGGGCACCTCAACGAACTGATATGGAGCAGTACAAAAAAAGTTATCCAAAAATATGGATTTTATACAGAAAACACGAGTTCTGCAATTGAATTCAACACTATAATATATGTAGAAGCAATTTTTAACCCTTTAATGCATGATGTAGCAGATACATACCAAATAAACATTTTTAGAATGTGCAGGTAGCAAGCTCCTGAAGTAAATCTGTTTGTAACCGATGTGCAACAGTCTGGTCCTTATACCTAGCAACTATGCAGTTGCTAGGTGCCATACACTTCTGGTGGCAAGCAAATTAAAACCAATCTGGCATTGTCGTGTAGCAGATTGACATTTTTTAAATTTAATTTTCTTAAACTTTATGCTAACCCAGGGTCCAGGCTCATCTGTATTTTTACATTTTTTTTTGTGTTGAGGTATGTATGAATGTACATACCCCAACACAAAAGATGGACTGACTGGGCTCTCTAGCATCCATGCAACATGTGCTAGAAAGCTGAAAATGCTGTTTGTAGCAAATGAGCAACAATAACATTTTCACTGCTTTCACTCATTTACTGCTTACAAATTTGATTTAAAAAATGTTTTTCATTGATATTATAATTTCTGTAGACAAGCAGAATAAGAGAAGGTATTCTAAAATGTATTTGTAGCAAAAACCATGAATGGAATGTATGTGTCTACTAGTGCCCAGTCCATTTATTGACGGAAAAAAACTGGAGACTTAATGAAAGTTCATATAAGACTTGTCACATTGGCTTTCTATGGAGAGAAAGCAGACTTCTTCCAACAATTATCATAATAAAACAGCGTTGGAAGGTGTACACTAGGTGGTAATAAAATTCTGATAATTTAATTTCTCTATATGATCCAACAAAAAAGAGAATCAATTATTCATGCTAAGCAAGTAGTAGTGAGAATATAGGGTCTTTTATGGTAAGTGGGAGAATCTCACTTCGACTGAGTCGAACATCAGAGAGACCTGAAGTGAGATTGGCCTTGTAGGTTTCTTCATCCTCATCAAGTCCTGCACCATTCAATTCCTGCTCTTCCATCATCTTCTTCATGACATATGGACTTGCTGGGAAATCCACTATCCACCAACAAATCCAAAATCATGCTCTGCCAGTGCTTTTCTTTAATTAAAAAAAATATATATTCCAATCCAAATACAGTGCAAAGAGGACTCACCAGTCTCAGGTCGATACTCATCAGGATGGGGAAGATCAATGTCAAGATCCCTCATCTTGGCTTGAAATGAGGCTGTGGTTGATTGAGATCGAGCACTGATCATCTTGGCTTCATCAGACCCAGATTGAGTCAATGTTCGACCAGATGCTGTCCACATCTCTGGTGATGAACTTGTGTCGAGATCAGGTACTGGAGTCAGATCTTCCTGTTCATAAGGTCCATTCACATCAAGTGAATCCCTTTGGTCCCAAAATGACAGGTCAAATATGAAAAATGCAAAATTAATCACCACTATTGACATGAAACTATTAGCATGCAGGAGATGAATATTCAGTCTCAGACCAAAATTTAAAAGAAGCACAATGATTTCCCAGAGAGACAAAAATTTTCATTAGTTCCATCACTTATATTGACATTGAAGAGGGTCAAAAAGATTTCAACTGGGGCCAAGACACTTTGGTATCTCATTACTTTGTGCACCACCTCAACATGGAAGAGAACTCAAAGTTGCTCAATAAAAATTTTCTGGCTGGCACAATTTTTTAATTGATAATGTATACACCAGTGGCAGAAAGGGCTAGTAAAAATAAGATCAAGACAAAATAGCAATTAGAGCAAATTACAAAATTGATTTAATAAAAATGATGCCCTGAGGCCATAACTGAATATTCCCTTCATTAGTGCCAGTGCCTGAAGAACAAGGTCCAATGTTTTAATTTTGTCATCCTGATACGTGACATTCTGAATGGGGCATTTTACAGATTGTGAATGGCAACTCCTAAGCATACTGCACTGATGAATGCAAACATGCAAAAAAAGTTATTCATGCTTGGCTCTCCTGGGGATAGTTATATGACTGTTTAAAAGCCTTGGTAAAAAGAAACCGTAAAAAGCAACCAGAGTAGTTCAAATCTCTCTCAGATTTGTTGAGTCAAAATTTTCAGTTGGATCCTTCATGTGTTTTGGCTGGAATAAGGTGGTAATTATTACTATCAACTATTATTATTACTAGTAATTATTACCACCTAGCTGGTATACTGCTACTGGTAGAAGCTGGATTTAGCTCATCTTCCTAGCCAGCTAAGAAGTTGAATAGTAAGTAGAAACTGAATAGTAGAAAAGTAGCTGGAATGTCCGTAGGAACTTCCATGGAACCCTCAAACAAGGAGGAGCTCTTGTTTTTGAACTTCTGAAGAAGTTTCCAGCAGTTTTAACTACCTTTTTGTGCACAATAGGTGGTTTAAAATTTTACTAGAGCTTTGAAGGCCTGTAACTTTGCCATATGGACTATTCTATTAGAAGAAATACATGAGATAGTGAATTCACTTTCTGAATGAGTAAAGGACAAAATCAATTCTTTCCAGCCAAAACCTAGTAGCTTTCCACCTGGGAGCCACTTGGAAAACTGCCAAAATTTACTGATGGAACCAGCTTATATTTCCAGTTGGAATTTTTGATTGGGTCTTTAGTAATAGAGAATACTGCATAATACATGGGAAAAAAGAAAGAGAGAGACTTTGGCAGTGACGAGGCTGAGGGCATCAGAGTCAGTATCTGGTGACAGGAACCCACGAGTCCTAAGAGGATCACAGCCTGGTGGTACAACAGATGTTCCTATCGTTGGACCTTCTCCCCCGTCCTCACTAACAAGTGAAGAGAAAGTCAGAAATTACCTTCACACAATCTGTACTGTGAGCATATGAAAAGATGACATATTTTTTAAATATCCAGTCTGTCTTCAATTAATTATTTTGTTAGGCAAGGAAGAAACCCAACTTCTATAGGAATGAAGTTAACTCACCTGCCATCCATGCCTAGAAACAACTTGTGCCTTGTACTCTTGACTAGTGTATCTGTTAAAAACCACAATACACCAATTTCTTCACCTCATTTCTAGCTTTCTTTGGTTAAAAATGTCCTTAATTGAGCACATGATCAAGTAAGTGTTCCTTCATTTTCTGGCAACAAGAGTTATTTATGCCATGGTTGGATAAGGGATTCCTCCCTTCACCAATGAATGAACATTCATGGTCCACACAGCAGATGCATGGATAAAAACCATTCAGATATGATAAAAACAGCAGTATTTAATTCACGACTTTTTCTCATGCACTCATTACATTCCTTCACACATGACATTAGAATACACTAAAAACATGAAGGAGTACTAATGATAACATTCACTGGGGTGAAATGAGGCTAAAATGGAAGAGCTCTACGATTTTGCTACAATTCATGACTTAAAGCAGATGTTGGACGGACGAGGGATTTCAACCGAGACTTCAACATTGCACTGAGGGAAAAATATGAAAAAGCTTTCCGCAGCAGGAGGTACAGTGCAAGACAACCATGATAAATCTGCTTCACAACCATTCAAATAATATCTGGGCATACAATTAATGCAGGAGATTCATGGCAAAAATAGATTTTGATTTCCTCTCCATGTAGTATTACATCATGAGTAACTTTTCTAAGGAAAATACCCACAACATAATTTGACAGAGTAATGCATGCAAAAAAAAAGCATGGACAGTTAAGATGCAATGCATTGGGTCTGAGATCAAGTAACATGTTTTCAAGGTTTTGGCCACAAAGAGAGTGGGAGATGGAAGTCTGAAATCAACATGTGACTATGATTTAGATGAACCATTCCTTTTTCCTTTGGACTCTGGATCCAGTATGGGAGTGAATGACAGCTTCATCAGCATCATCAGCGCCCTGTGCACCCGAGTCCTCCTGTGTGAGGTAGGCCCCCTTGTGACGGGACAGGGAACGACCAATGAGAACTAACATGATCACCAGGGCCACAAATATCAAAGCCAGGACTCCTGCCAACAAATCAAATATGTTGAATCAATGACATATATTTCAACACAGTGAATTTGAAACCAAGATAGGCAGTCAAACACAGACATTTACAATGTTTAGAAATGCTTTTCAATCACCATCTTGTTTACCAAACAGTATAGTACCATGCATTGCTGTTATTGTATCTACTCAGGCCCAATTAAACTTTCTAAGATTCCCAATAAAAACATCAGATTTCAGAGAAGTTATATCTCAATTGAATGCATGCAGATATTGTCCAAACCTGCATGAAGGGGTTCAGCTTTTGAACAGATGTTGAACTAGTGTGTTTTATTTTGTAATGCAGCATAGTCTGAAATGAATCCCATGGAAGCATTAGCAGAGAAAAATGGCAATGTTAATCAAGGTTATAATTTCTCCTAAACCAGTTCTTGACATTGATCAATTCACTATCCATGACAAGGTATCACAACAAAATTCTACTGTGTTTGAAAAAAGTTACAACTTCACATGTATACTTCACAAAGGCATCCAGCACTGAATCACAACCCTCTTGCAAATTAAAGTGGCAGCATTTCATCACCTTAAAAAAAAATTCCACATTCATGATGCAGTTAATATAGATTTGCACCAAATTCAGTGCTGTGAAAATTTACTGCACCTGATATTCTTTTCATAATTAATGAAACTGAAAAGTGTATTCAGTTTCAGTACCGATGAAAGCTTTCAGCAATCTGCATATATTGGCTTGGGGATTTTGATTCACAATTCAAGTCTGAAAAAAAATATTTGTGCTAAAGTTTTCCTCCATACTTTAACACACTGTTCAGAAAGTTTCTGACTGAAGACGGAGATGAAATCAACCAGAACGTAATGATTTAATTACATTCCACATGGCCAAGAATACCATATGCACTGACTCCATGGGGTCAGGCTGATGCAGAGCACTCTCCTGAAACCTGCACCTCAGGTGTTTTGGGTCTTCAGATCCAGAAGGTTCCTAGGTCAATTATTCTAGACTCATACCATAGTCTCTTGAGTGGCGCGAATCGCAGAGCAAGTTGGATGACATGGGGCTCTGTCCTACATCAACGGTCTTTTCTTTGTCTGAGCAGATCGCCCAGATCTTCATGTAGTCCATGCAATTAGCAGAATGTTTTCACTGTAGCAGGCCTAGCCTTTAGCCACATTTTGTGTGGGAGGGTCAGAAACTTTCAGAACACCCTGTATGCTTTTCTAAGTTAAAAATCTTGGTTTAAAAATGGAAAAATCAAAACTTCAATATCTTCCTCATCTATATGTTTTAATTTTTTTTTAAAGAACAAAACTTTGCTGGAACAAAGGTTGACTCATTCTACTGCAGTTTGTAACATTATGTTGCCAATCTACAAATAGCTGAGAAAGGTATTTCACCTCCGAGAATGGCTGAGTCCCCAGTGTGAAGATACTCTTGAACAGTGCTAGGATCCACAGAAGGTGGGGGTCTTGTTTCCACCATTTCAGGGGGATGAGTCACTGGCTCAATGGCACAAAAGTCTTCATGGATTGTCTCTGCAGTCAACAACAACAGACAACTCCAATCAACACTCATCTACTTTACGAATGCCATGCTGCATGGCAAAAGAGGTATTGCAAAAAATTCTTAAACAAACCAGGGGTCCCATTGATGTTCTTTGGTGGGTCTTGTTGGAAGAGGAGCTTGAGAGGGAAGATGTCATCAAACTGTACACGGGAGATGCAGCCCACAAACCCATCCTGCATTGTCTCATTCTTCCCTATGTAGAAATACTTGATGTTGTTGAACTGAGCATCAGCAGATCGACCAATTTTCAGGTGTTCAATCATTGGTGGGTAGTTGTCCACCTGCATGCCAAAAAACATCACATCTACCAATTGTCATCTATTATCAATAAGAATGGATGGGAGAATGACTTTCTTGCCTGGAGAATAAGCTTGGAGCCAGATTCCTCTCGTCGAAGGCGGACATCATGGAATTGGCCAGCATTGAAGATGTGATCTCGGTAGATGAATTCCTGCCGCTCAAACCCAAAGTCAAAAACCAGCCTCAGGTGTCCTAAAGAAATATTGAGAACTCAATTGAAGGGTATGTACACTCACCACATGCATTTAAACTGTAGTTTTGTATGGGAAAGAGTCATTTGCAAAAAAAAAAAAAAAAAAAAATTTAGGTGGTTTGTGTATTGTTTAGTCACCAATGAGAACAGAAAGTATTTATAATATTTTCATGTTATAAACATCCAGGGAACAGAGTTTACTTTGTATCAAGACTGTACCATGCACTCTGTCTTGTTACCAAACAGCATTTTACATAAAACTGAATAAGAAAAATTGAAGGTCATAATATTGAGGACAACTTAATGATTCTGCTTTACTAACAAATAAATAAATAAATGCAAATTAACGAGTCACAGTCTGAAATGAGACCTTCTGACACTGCTTTCCAGGGAAGGTGACTATCCACTCAAATTTTCAATTCAACCCTCCACTGCAGATGCAAACATTCATTCTATAACTTGTGGCTTTAACATCCAACATTTTCAGCAACATAAAACTTCTTATTAGCTCATACATGGACTTGAGACAATGCATGCGCCAAATTTTGTAACATAATATCTGATATTTTTGGAGAACTTTTGAACAGCAAGTCCTAAAAGAAAATACAGATTTAAAAAAAGTACTGGTACCGTATTCACTCATGTATGAGGCGCATTTTTTGTGCTAAATGTTTACACGGTATGCTTCATTGAGGATTTCACTACAGAAGTACAGATTCACTCTTTTACGTATTCAGCCAATTCTATTGTGATTACCGGAAACCATCCCATTTTCCCCACAAGGCTATGAGATTCTTCAGAGCCTGGCTCAATTTTGCCCTCACCTCCATCTGCTTCCGTATACAGCTTTCCTCGACGTCAAATGACCTATTGCACGAATGCCCAACTCCTTCGCTTCCTGAATCACATTGATTTCTCTGCAGCTGTTTAACTTTGCCATATATTTCCATCCTTTTTCATGGATAATAAAACAAATGTTAGGGATAATGTACCCTCCTTGATAAAAGGTCAGGACAGCGAATAAAAACAAGGTATGACCAGCTTTGCCTCTTATTCATCTCCCTTGTCTGACAATTTTCGCTGAGAAATAGGGGGGTGTACCATATACTCAGGGAGTCTTTTCTTAACACTAATTGGGACCTCAAAAGCGGGGTGCATCTTATACTTGGTGGCGCACTATACTTGAGTAAATACGGTGATTAATGTGATGTGTTCATAGACACACATTGCCAACAGTGTTATGCACTATTGGCAGCTGTTCAAAACTTAAATTGTTCAATGTTGTATCCACACCTGGTCTAACTTAGACATGTTACTCAATAGTTCCCATTGTGGTTTACATGTTGCTTATTTGGTCAAAATGGTATCAATGGTCTATGGATGAATGCATACCACTGTTGGAGACCATAAGTGTGAGGTACTCAAGGGTGTCAGGAGAATAGAGGCCCACAAGGAATCCCTGGGGGTCTGTGGTGGTAAACCCAACCCGGATGTCTTCAGCAATCGTGCTCTTGTATGACCCATCAAATGTGAACTTCACCATAAACTGCTTTCTCATGTTCACACCAATCTCATCAGCACAGATAGGACCCTTGAAGGCAGTCCAGCGGCAGTCACAGATGTAGTGATCGTAACCTTCATGGCATGTCCCATTGTTCAAGCAGGGATCAGAAGGGCACTTCCCAACGCAGCCAACACCGACACCATATGTCCCTCGCTCAGCAGGACTTCTCAAGTCCATAACCTTCCCATTCACCATCAGGGCACGCATGCAGCCCACGTACCCGTCTCTCCAGTCTAATGCTGAACCTGAGGCACACGACCATCTAGATTATACCTCTCCTGAACTAAGACTTAATAAGTATGTTCCTACATTACACAAGTATGACAGTTTCTTTCTCCATGTCTATTTCTCCAACAGATTTCATGCTAAAAAGCCACCAGGAGAGGCCTTAAAATTTCCAGGGATTTTTTCATTTTACTTCAATATCAACTGGACAATATTTCAAGTCTTTGAATTTGTTATATTCTTCCTATTAAATTCTTATAGTAACAATTACAACTTTTATAATTTTTCCACAATCAATTTCAGAAACATGAAAAAAATAACCCAATAAATTCATTCAGAGGTCTTCATTTGAACTTTCTCCCTGGAAATATCAGTGTCTCCACATCTAGTCCTTTTCTGGTCAAGCACTATGATTGAGCAGGTAAGGGAATGAAAATGGGTTATAGCAAGACATGGATTTAACTTTAACAGTCTGCTCTACATTAAATTTTTTTGCATATTCCACATGTTAACACATTCATTGCCAATTATGGCAATGGCCGTTTTCGTAAAATCATTCTCCCAGCATCAATGATGGCTTGAGCCATTTAAATGCCTGGCAGTGAATGTGTTAAATATAGATTTAGAATCAGTATTCTGGGAAAAGGGACTGACCAACTGAGAGTTTTGAGGTGAGATGCATGGCTCGCACAGGTCCCCTGGATTCATGGACCTCTTCGGTGTAGGCACCATCGACTACAACACGAGCCTGAAGCCGATTTCTCTCCACATGCACTGAATGCCATTCATCATCGTTTAGTTTCTTTGCTGTCTCTACATTAACTCCAAGAGAACCTCCTCCAGCTGAGTACTCAAACTGGATGTGATCTCCACCTACAGTCAATGATGGACATAACTGACAAACCAGGCAGATCAAGCATAGCTGGAAATGCATGTTATTTTTGGGCACTCAATGTCGCTATCCTTCATGTGCAAGTATTAAAAACTGACTGCACTATTACAAGGGAGTAGTAACTTATATTTTTCATCAGCCCTGACACTCACCAATGATGCTGACTTTGATGAAGTCACTAGGTCCCTGGCTGTGAATGAAGACAGCATTTTCCTGGGTGGTCTTGAACTCAAAGTAAATGTCCCCACTAAGACCCATTTCAAAGGTAGGAAACTCCAAGTTGGCATCCTTGATGCGAAAGGTGATGACGTTGTCAAACAAGGTGTCCCCTGTACACTCTAGAGGACCCAAGGTAAGTTTGACTTCCTTGCCCTTCAAGTCAGTGTCCCCAACCCGTAGCTGCCGTACTGGCAAGTGCTCCTTGTATTTGAGGTAACCAGCATCCATGTTCCACTCATCCTGCCCTGCTGGATTGATTAATCATTCCAGATAATGAATTATGAATACCATTCAACAAAGTCATTTAATGTAGGACCTCATTCCAGGAGAAATTTGGCATCCAGTCTCAGACGGGGAACCATGAGTTGTAACCTACCAGTCCATCATGATTACTTTCTTTCATTGCCATTATTCCTAGTGGTCTAATGCAGAAAAACTAAACCCTAAATTGTCATTATTCCCTCAGAGGACCACCATGATAGGTCTATTGCAATGACATTCTCAGTTGTAGCTCATGGTGTAATGATGCAACACATTCCATGTTATAAGAAAACAGATGAGAAAATAAGGAAAGAATGGTTCCTTTCATTGAGGTTTTGCTACAGAGGCTTTCTTTTTTTTTCCCTATCCTTATTCTGAAAGAAGAGCAAACAAGGGATTTGTGCTCATCCAGACAGGCAAACAAAATCCAAAAAATTGCATTAAATCATGAGTAAATCCTTATCAAATCAGGCAAAAAATAGGCTTATAATATTGACTTCTGACTATTATTGAAAGCTGCTTTTCACATCCTACACTATATAAGAGAAGTCAAAAAGTTTCCATAGCAACTGGAAAAATATTTGGTAAAACTCCAATTTGTGCCAATCACTTTTCAAATCATCATGGCTTCTCTATGCAAGACTGGCATATTTTCATCCACATGAGGTAGCACTGGGTGAACATTTCTTTGAGAAAAAATGTCAGAACCCAAAAACTTGACATGTGAACTTGAGCTTGGAACAATTTGCCACAACCCCAACCTAAAATGGTCAAAACTGTGGCCAGTGCTTCCAAGACTCATTATGCCATTTTTTTGGACATGAAGAGCCACTGGTCATTCATCCTGTACCTACTGGCTTAATTATCATTGCTACTACCTGCTAGCCAGTGAACACATACCAGCATTTAAAAAAAACCAAACCTTCTCTTGTCAAGAGTGATCCTTTACCATGCCAATGCTACTCCTCACTGAGCTCAAGTTCTTAGTGACTTCACCCAAAAAAACTAATTGAAATGCTGCCACATCCCTCCATTCTCCAGATCTTTCCCCATTGACTTCTGGTTGTTTGGAGAACTTTGGAGAAGTTGCTTTGCGAGCACCACTAACCCCCTTGAAATTCTCTCAGAAGTGTGATTTGACAGTGGTTCTGACATAGCCCCAAAGAAATGTTCACCCAGTGCTACCTCATGTTGATGAAAATATACCAGTCTTTCATTCAACTATGTTGAAAAGTGAATGAATCAAAATGGAGTTTTACACAAAATATTTTTCATTTTATTTGACTAGGGTAAAACCACCCATGTTTGGACAGTTAAGCCAGGATAGGATTGTGGTTCACTTGTCATGCCTTAACTCTTTCACTGCATAGTGAAATCAATATGGGTTTGGGAGGACTAGTTGCTGTGTGAAAAAACCTACCACCACAGTGAAAGAGTTAATGGTACAATCCAGATATTTCATTTTTTGCATCCAGCAGCAGAATATGAGTAGGTATGAGTGTGATAAAGATGACCACTGAAGCCTTATGACTTCCAACAATTCCTATTACATGGGTGCTGAACTTAAATGCGAAAAAATGAAGTTCAAACAGAATGTGGTTTGGACACACCAGAAGTAAGGTGGGAATCTGCTCATGGCATGTGCATTCCCTTGTAGCAGTGCACTACATTCCCTAGTTTCCTGTGGAATAAGAACTGATCCCAGAATTAACAATACCACATGGGAAGCCTTTCTCAAGGAAGGTCATCTCCATACATTTTCTTGAATTTGTCCTGTTTGCAACATGACATTCATTTTGAAGTCATGCTCAATGATTGTGGCTTCTGCAAGTCATTCACTTAGCAACATGGTCATCTTGGGTTAAGAAGAACTCTCTCTGACATCAATCTCACAAATGTGTAATCATTAACAATAAATGTTAGTGTCAAAACTTAGGTGGTTTTAACCTACAATGGAAACTTTTTGACTGCCCCCATGAAGTACTAAGCTATATCTTCAAGGAGAGATACATTTCCACAGATGCCACCAGTATGGAATAGTTAACATTTCAGAAAATGAATCCATTGTTGCAGACTTGCTTGGTACATTTCCACCTATATTCTTGAAGCATTGATGTGGTAATTAATTCATGTTGATGACATAGTGTCTTTGTTCTCTGTATCTAGGATGTTATGTGGATTCTTAACCATCTTTGATTTTTGTCATTTTTTGTATTTTATAATTTTCTGCAAACATAATAAAAATTTCACAATGTAAGCATTAAGTACCTCATAACCCTAACTACTAAAATAATTCATTATGATGCAGTTTAAATGGTCTACAGAGAGAGATGAAAAATGAAATTCATATCAGAACAGTCTATGCTATCAGATGCAGGGGGGTATCCCAACTTACGGGGGAATCTTGTGAGTGATACAAAAATAGTTCTGATCTACCTGATCTGGGGGTCCAAACCACCCCCTTCCTCTTATGGGCACACCTTTATACTAATAATTTTTACCTAAACTCAGATTGCAGAGATGTGCATGAAAATTTTTCCACCTTTGTTCATTGTCAATTGTATCACATCAATAGTAGTATATATAGAACATAGAATATAACAGAGCATAGTTGTAGTAGGAAAACAGTATAGAACAGAGTAGTACATATAAAAGCTGAACATTTTTTATGGATAACTCTGAATTTTGGTCAGCTGTGAGTGACACTGTTAATGAGTGTGGGCTTACCAATCCATGTTGCATAATGCCATGGACAAATATGAATCTGATGAAAAATGACAAAACAGTTATTACTGATTATTAGGATAACTATGTACTGAATTAATTTTGTAGGAGCACTTCTGATTGTGTGATTTGTATTTGTTAGGGGAACATCTAAAATTGAAGCCACAACTCCATACATAATCAGTTTCTTGCAGTTCAGTTATCACTATCTCTGTCTTAACATCAAAAATAATTTTTTTAATGTATTGATGATAGTACTGATATTTTCCACAGCTGTCAACTTTATTAGATATATTGATTAATTATTCTACTTAAGTTTTAACATCTTGCATATGACATTACACCAGATCATTTCCTCAGCCTTCTTTTAGAACTGAATGTTCCCTTTGTCAAATTCAGAGATAATTACTGAGTTAATTAAGATGTTTATTTTAAATATATCAAATTCTAGTTAATTTAATTTAATCATTTAAATACAATTTATTTAAATTAAAAACAAGCAGTTAAAAATTAAACAAAGTGGAATCTTGTATTTTGGATATACTACTTTCACAGATGAGGTTCAAAACTATGGATGGGACCTACCAGCATCACAGTTGCACCACTTGGAAGGATCTGTACAAGATGAGTAGAGGCCACAGGAACATTTGTGAGAACCAGGAAGGGAATCACCCCAGTAATCCATGATCTGGTTCTCACGGGATACCCACCATGATGAGGGACGGAAAGTCTCAGCTCCCTGGTGCACTGGTGTATTGAACAGCTTTGCCCCCTTGCATTCGAAGCGTATCCGCTGCTGACACGAGACACTTCTATTCACCAGGTGCCCAATCTGCTCCATGTCTGCCTCATAGTTTATTTCTTGAATAAAAGAGCCTGGCTGTGAGAACCCCGACACAAGGGTTCCTGGTTTTAGATTGTGGTGGACCAAAGTGCGTGTCTCCGTGTCATCTAAAAGATAATCAACATAAATAATTCCTTGAACATTGCTTCAGTCCATGTTAACATACATGATACAGGGTGCTTTATTTATCAGTTAACCAACAAGAATGAGAATTAATATATTTACAATAAACATACACTACAGTAGTAACATTTCATCCTTCATCCACAGGATGTCGGCAATGCCACAGAGCAACCTTTGTTAGGGTGGCAATTTAATGGTATTGAATACAGAATACATATAGGTAGATCTACTGCAAATGGAATAATGCAATGCATTACTGGTAGAGAACCTTGTGGTAGCTTGTGGCTGGAGATGCCAAACAGAAAGAGTGATCTTGAGAGAACTGACCAAAGATGCAGGTGACAGGGAAAGGATGAAGAGGGCCACTGCCATCAACATCAATGGTGATGGAAGCCCGTTTTGCACCCTGGTGGGACTGGAGCCAAGCCTGGCAGGAGTGTGGGTGGGCAGGGATGTGACAGACGGCCCCAGTGTAGCCAGTGGAGTCGCAATTGCAAGAGAAGGATTCCCAGGTCTGCTCACAGCGCCCATTATTTTCACATGGATTTGGAGTGCACCGATCCATCATTTGACATGCATCCAGGAGAATGCTCTGCTTCTCTCGCATGTCCTGCAAGGAAATGAGTCCATGAAAGTTTAAATACATGACATCGACAATACATTTTTCTCTCTCCAACTTAGAGAGAGAAGCTGTGCTTCACAGCACAGCTTCTTGAGAGATTACTAAAATTTTATTTGAATCTTGACATTGGAGGTAACACTTGAAAAGTATACTCATCAGTACCCTTTGAGACATGTTCCAGGTAACATTCATACCTTCACTTGCACATTTGCAAGCTTGTTAGGACATTGTCCACAATCTTTGTGTCAGTTTCAAGGTCTAGGCCACAGACTTTCTTGCTTCAAGCTCCAAGTTGCCCCAAAGACAATGTCTTTTCAATAGATGTTTCCAGAATGAAGGAAGTGGTAAGTGGAATTCACCTGATAACCAGTGTTCAATAACTCTATTGCCTCTTTCTTGAAATTTTCACAGATGATGCTATAGGTATTGAGAATTTCTATCATGAGAGTGTTGCAAGACTTTTGGAGGGCAGTATAATAGGAAATGTGACTTAGTTGAGAATCACTGAAATCAGTCAAACTTATGAATGCTGGAATACCTCCTTGAGATTAATTTCATTCAATTAATTTTTGAGATGGTATAAGACAGACTTAACTTTAAAATGCGACAGTCTTCATACTTGCATTTAAAATCTTTCAAGTTCAACCATAAAATGACTGACCTGATTGCCCCAGTTAAGGGGATGCTGGAGATTCCCATCAACACTGATGTATCGCATACATCCAATAAAGCCCTTCTCATCTTTCAGACCGCCTACAAAAAGCCAAAAATAAAGACCAAATAGAAGAGCATCTCAAGACCAAATTTCTTGAAACACTCTTCACTCTCTCATCATTAAATGATTATGCTTCTTCAAAACACAGCTGTTGGTAGCATTCACTCATATTCATATATTGCATGATACATTTATGCCATTTGTTCAAAGAATAATAAAATGGAATTCTTGCTAGGAGAAAACAATCTACATACAAAAGCATCAGAGAAGTCAGTGACAACTTTCATATATATTTCCCTTCTCTTGTCTTCCTCCTCTGTTCCTCTTATTTAACCTACAAAATTAAAATTTGTTCACAGAATTGTATTTGTGCATCTATACGTCCTTCTTTGAAATCTAGCTAATCAAAAACTGAAGCTGCAGTCTTAACCCCTACATTATATTAAGTCATTTTCAAGCTTCAGCCTTGATAATGCATAGAGACCTTGAAAGGAGAAAAATCAAAGAAAAAGGGCAACAAACCAGCAATCCAATAATATGGACCAGTCTGGACTTGCATGCGACGGACAGTTGGCATGGGCCGTTGATCTACACTTAGGGTAAGAAGATTCTCCTTCATGGTTAGCATCACACTATGCCATTCTCCATCAGCAAACACCTCCTGGAAGTTGTCCACTACCACCATGGGCATGTCAGGCCCTACCACCTCCACCATGATACGGCCCTCCTTAAGGAACAGCTTCAGGTGGCCCACATTCATCATGCGATGATAAATGAGCAGTCCATTCTGTTCATATGTGCGAAAGTCTAGTGACACATTTAGTGTCAAGATCCCCTCATAACCTTTCAGCTTCAGGTGTGACCCACTGGTGAGGAACGTCACTGGGATGATCTGTGTCTCCTGCAATCAGCATTTTCAAAAAGAACTCTTTAAGTAAGTTTTGAGAAAGAAAGTGATACTTGCCTGCAAGTAAGCTTGCTCACAAATACCAGCATAGTAAAAAACTTGCTCCAAGAAAAACCCAATTAGATTTGTGTCACCACAAAATGCATGCATTTTAAACGAGAGCTGATCTGTTTTCCCATAGAAATGGTATCAAACCCTGTTCAAAGTAAATTATTACACTCTAGATTCAGTAGTGAATCACTGCCACTCACAAGACTATTGGCCATCAGGGCTATATATGATGCTTTTCTCATATTATCTCACTGTTCAATCAAACACCAGAGCATGTGTAGATGTTGTTATGCACATAAAACAAACTATGTATGAGGAGTGTTATTTTTGCCAAAGGAGAATGGCAGGAAGGAAATTTTTGACAAGACTATATAAAGGGCAAACAAATTGTGGGGGGGCCCTGTAGGGGTTCTTGTGAGTCAAACAGCCATGCAGACCACCAAGCATTTGAATGATCTTTGCAAGCTGAAGGCATTAATGGAACTTGGACTGTTGGACTAGTAAACCCAATAGGCTAAGTTTTTGGGCAGTTGTCAGGCAGAGAACTCTTGCTGGTTATCTGGTTGAGTCCTTATTTGTTCAAATCACATCAGCATGCCTAGGCTCATTTTGTGCCATAATTTCTGTGGATACTGTCACTGTCTCAGTTGATTCTGGCATCTGCACAAGGAGGTAGCATTTGAATGACATCACTATCTAATATTTTGAAGCTACTTTTTTTATTTCTTTCCAAAACTAAGATTTTCCTGGCTTAATAAAAATAACTACTTATCATGAAAAATTAATATAAATGTTGTTTCTTGCTGCAAAAACCACCAAAAAATATAAATAGAAAACAATGACTTAACATTTTACAATTAAAATATTAAATATCAACTACATTTTTGAATACATTTGGTATGCATCACCATAGGGAGATTAGCCATTGGTTTTTCTTTTCATGCTTGATAAAAAAAAAGAAACCCTGTGCAATTCACCTGGCAATAGAAGAGAGTGCTGTAAGCCTCATAGTCTCTTTCTCGTGTCTTCACTGCCTGTATGACATTGGTCTTGTTGATGAAGAAGTTCTCAATGCACCCTGTGAAGTTCTTCCACATGGTCAGACCTTTTTCCTTGTAACGTACTCCCCCAATCAATATCTATGATGCAAATAAGGGTCACATTTTCATGTCAAACTAGACTGTAGACTGAGGATGCCTTATACTGTTGCAGAAAACAGTGCAACTCACCTCTCGATCCAGGTTCAACTGACTGTAATCACCCTTGACCTGCTCCCGTACAACAACCCGATCCACACTGAACTCCACAACCTTCCCCCAGCGTTCAATCAATACATCATGCCAGTGATCATCATCTAAAAGACTTCCAACTGACAAGGATGTCTTCAGCTGTGCACCTGTCAATACCATTCCCAAGAAGTCAACAAATCTGAATGTTGCCAGATACATTATAAGGAAGAAGGCCCTAACCTAGGTCAATGTTGAGGTACAACTTGTTCCGCATCATCTCAAGGGCAATGTAGTCACCCTGAGCCCCACGAGAGTACAACAGGACACCATCACTCTCACTGGTCTTGAAACGAAAGCGAATTGTGTCCTGGCTGGATACCACTGGGTACCTTCCCAATTTTCTCACAACCAAGGAACTCCCATTGAAGTTCATGGTGTCAGCCACTGCATCACCAGAAACAGAGGATACCATGTGATACAATCTAAAATTATGTACCATTGATTACACAATAAGGAGGGGGAGCTGAAGATGCCAATAACTCAAGTCAAGACTTGGGTTCTTCATTCTGAACTGTAAAAAAAAAAAGCTTCATGTGCCAACATACATGCTTTGGTACCCAAGCAACTTTTAGGCAAATAGCAAAAGCACACCATATGGTGGCACTTGGGTATCAAAGGATTAATTCTCCATTAGGGTGTTGCAGTGTGATAAATTTCTTGGTGATACTGGCAAGGAGCTTGGCTTGGCTGCTTCATTTACAAACACCCAGAAAAAATGAAGACAGCTAGTCACACATCCGTATTACGCCCCTCCATTTGAAGCATGGGGATTTTATTTGTTCATTTCAACCTAAATGGATGAATTTGGTAGGCATGCCCAGGTTTAATACCACGATTGAAGTTGCTAGGAGGACTCACGTTGATCTCGGAAAGAAAACCTCTGAGAAGGAAAACTATGTTATCATAGTGTAAGGCCACATTTTTGGTATTGATAATGAGTGCTCAGGGACACCGAGCAGAGTCAAGGCACAAGACAGACCTTGGGCCTTGAGCATAGATTAAATACACTCCTGTGACTTCCAGGAAAGTTTTGGTTTCCCCCAGGCTGTCGATGTCACCATGGATGGAGATGGGGAGGATAGTTGACAAGATATTTCATTTTAGAAATGGATGGCATGGTGCCATGGCAACAGTATAATTAGAGGCAGTGTCCTATTGTTTCCATACATACTGTGGTGATGGTATGAACATGGAACATGGTATTTTCAGTTTTCATACCATGGCAATTATATTTTTAAAATGTAGATGGAGTTGAAGTGAATTGAATATTGCAGTATGATGAAAATACCAGTATACTGCAATGCCCTATTCTCCAAAGAAGTCAGATTTTCTCATATTTATCTACCATCAAGTTTTCAAAATATGCATGAAGCAAAGGCAAAGGGCAAGGCAAATAATTTAAAAATAAAGAGGCATGAAAGTACCTTGACCAAAAAGTGGAGAGCACAATTGAATGGTTAAAAAGAAACTAGAACTAAAGCAATGATGCATCTCTTCAATGTATTCATTACAGTCAATTCAACAGAGTAGTATGACTCTGTAAGATGCAACTCACCATAGCGGCAACCATAGAGTTCAACCCGCATGGAGATGCGGTCCCGCCATCTTGTTGGATTGATCCGCACCCACTGGGCAATGATAGGTGGGTCAAAAACATTCACAGTGATGCTGTTTGAGTCCTTGTTTCCCTTGAACATCTGCAATCATAGAAACATCAGGTTAATATGTAAAAAATCATTATAGTTTCCATGCAGATGATGTAATGCTGACAGAAAGTGAATGAACTTCATATGCAAGCAGACATTATATCCAAAGATATGAGTTAGGTGAATACCGTAATACAAGCATTAGCATGCAGGCTGGTGAGAGTACATGAATATTTTCATGCAGATTCGGGAATGAACACACAACAGGAGTGCAACAAAATGCAATTTTGAGGTAGTCACAATGTCAAATGTCGTTAAATCACCATAATATATGTGACAAATACATTCCCAAGAACAACATTCAGGATACTTACATGTTGCAAATCAAACTTTGAATATCCAACATTTCCTCCAATTTGGAAAGACTTGAATCAGACAATACAATCATGCTAAATATTGGATGGAGAAGATCACATAAAAAGGGTATGAAAGGGATGAAGTACGTTTACAGAAGGTAGAAAGATAACATTGATGCCATGATACAAAATTTTACCATTCCATTTGCATGACAGATTCTTATTACTTGGAGGAAAAAACCATTTTGGTACACATGATTGCTAGTCAAGATGAAAAATCAAGATTTACATATATGATGAGCACCTGGCTTCAGTTCTTCTGTGGTAGCACCATTCATGACATACAAAGGATCTTTAATTTTGTAAAGCAACTATCAACAGGCTCAGCTGCTAATGAGCTTCAATTTTTTACTCTCCTTCAATCACAGTTTTAAGGTATTCACAGCAATGTGAAATAAATGAAAAGAATTAAAGTTAGGAGTAAAAAAAATTGCATGACTGGATTATTCATACTGTACATGTACTGCCTAAGTTGAGCAAAGCTAGGGTTAGCCTAACTTGCCAAAATGCACCAAAAGAACTAGAAAAATAAAGATCACTCTGAAGAGCTAGATCTAATGCATAACACAGGGTGATCACTTTAAGTGAGAACTCAAGAAATCATTGATAAATTTTGGCTGGAAATAGCTGGGATTATGAAAATTGGTAGTAATGTACATTGTTGTCTGGAAATACGTACTGGGTATTGGTTTATTACAAAAGGTGTTGAAATTAACCACCACCATTTTGGATGCATAACTATGCATGTCTGAGCATGTTGGCAATGAGTTACAAGATGTTGCTTTTCAATTCATCAAAAGTGTGTGGATTATTGTTGTAGGCATTGTCCTTAACATAGCTCCATAGAGAGAAATCCAAAGGTGACAGATCTGGTGAGTGTAGGGGCCACAACCCCTTCAAAATGATGCATTCCCCAAACAAGAGGAAATAGTCGGCTGAACTCTGCTTGAGTGACTTGTTGCATCATCTTGCTGCCACCATGCTCTGGCAATCTCCTCTTCAGTCAGGTGTCCATGAAATTTATGGACTATATCAATGTACCGTTGAGAGGTTATGGTGTCAATGAAAAAGATGGCTCCCACAATCCTGCATCGGGTTATTGCTCACCACAATCCAATACTCGGTACATCTTTCCAGACAGCAAAGTACGTTACAACCAATTTTCTTGCTCCTAGCTCTTTCCTACCATAAGTTATTAATGGTTTCAATTTGTTCTCACTTAAAATGATCACCCTGTACTCAACATGAAAAATATAAAAATAGACCAAATAACACAGCATCCAGGATATGAGTAAGGAAAGGTACCAACAATTCAAGTCTGAACATTAGTGGGGGAGGCCCAAGATCCTACCATCATCCAATAAATATACTGATGAAAATCAAATCATGCTCAGCAAAAATCAAGATGCAAAATTTTGAATCCCACAACACTAATTTAGTGTAGTGCATAATATTCAAATGAAGCACTGCTAGCAATATAGGCCAAAAAAAAAATCAGCAGACTAACATCTTAAATTATCAGAAAGTCATTGCAGCTTTGCACACTTTCTAAAATGCCATCAAAAGTTGGAATATTATGTATAACAAACCATTTTGAAAAGGACAGGGCTAGATAAGTAAGAATGCATTATGAGACAACCTGACAAAAAATCAAAGAAGTTTTCAAATCTTCTTGCAATAACTTCCAGTAACATCACATTTATCCTTGGTGAAGATGAAGAGGACTGAATCAAAACTGGCATTATAATAAAGCTAAATCACTAAATAAATGCCTGACAAAAGGGGAAAATCCTACAGAACAGCAACCAGGACAGATAAGAGACATGTTTTCCTTCTTGCAACAGAATGTGCCGTGCAACAGATATTGGTAATGTGAATCCATTCATTTCACCATGACAAGAATGTAAAAACATGAAAGCCAAGACAAAAACCTCAGGTCCCAGGCCAGGCTGATAATAAGTTTGCCATGAATCTCCATTTGTGCTGTATTGGACGAAGTACTCTGACACGAAAGCAGACCAATGGGCATCACCCTGGGTGGCTATGGCAACAATGGCTGACTTCTTCTCCAAGCGAATTACCATCCATTGATGAAGGTCCTCCTGTTGTGGCATCCAGGCTGTAGTACCTAAAAACCATGCAGGAACACACACAAATGGGTGCAGTGTTAAACAAAAAAAACTTCAACCCAAGATCCCTTCAGTGTCAGTTAGTGTCAAAGCAGGTCTACGGTGAATGCAGGTGCAGCTCGTGTGAACGGCTGAAGCGATGGAAAGAATGAACAGCCTTTGTTTTCTTTTCCACTATGCATCCTCTCACCTTGGCATTTCCATTTGTATCATGGTAGTATGTGAAGTCAAGGCCATTGTAGCCATAGCTGATGGTATATTCCATGACAAACTCAGAGGAGTATTGACGGCCCTGTGTGACGATGGAGGTAACTTGCATGACCTCGCCTAAGTCGATGTGAAGCTGCTGATCAAAATCCGAGTTGCGTGCGGTCCATGCGCTACCGCCTGTGTGCACATATCAACTTGTTTCAAGGAATCAATGAAAATCCAGAGAGAAGGGAAATTCAGCATAAAAGAAATGGACACTACATACAAGTGAATCAATGGCATCTTGATACTTGAGTTCCTTGTCAACTTGAACTCTAATTCCCTTTCCTCAAAGTTGTGACTTGGACAGGATTTTACAAAATTTGTAAATGCTATATTTTACAAATGTAGGATTCATAAAAGCATTAGTTTTAGCTGATGATTACCAGGGTAATCAATTTCTCAGAGGCTGCACAACAGTCAACTCATAACCATTATTTATTCAGACAATGAGGGGTTCAAGTGCCATTAACAAATTATTATTTACCTACCATTCCAATAACGATCTTTAGGAAAATGGCAGACATTACAATTGGTTTTTCAGTTTTTATTTTATTCCTTTTCTTTTCATTCCAACTGTATGGAGTTGCTACAGCAATCAGATAATTGTCATTCTGAGCTCATGCAGCTTTTAGCCTGAGTTGGGGGTTAGTCAGCTTCTAAAACTGCTGGTTCCCTTGCAGTCCACAACTGACAAGATTCCCAGTTGAAAGAGTGGCTTCTTGAAACAGCATAAACTGACTGAACTTAATGTCACACCTGGCAACCTACATATCATACTCTCCTTCCATTTTCAAATTTCAGATTTCAATAATTCCATGCCTTAATTAATGGGGTGCCTGGAAATGATAGTCAGAGGAGACCCACATAAATAGGAATAATCTATTGATGCCATCTGAAAGGGCATTTTATTGCACAACTTTCTACAGTGTTTACAAATTCTGTTTCCTCCTTGGGTTTGTCAAAAATTGTCAAAAAGCTAAACACTTACAGAATGACAATGATGATGTGATTCTCAATTGACTGCTCATGAAAATTAATTTTATGCAAGTTCTTGCATAATAAATGTTTCCACTTTGTCCTTCAAGATGGTTTTGATGTATTCACACACATCCTAAGGTAGGGAATTCCCAGGCCATTCAGCATTATCAAAGAAGTCCACATTGTTGTCTCACAGGAGCTTTTGAATGGCCAAAGCTATAAAAAGCACAAAGTTTTATCATGGAGGAGAGTGACTTGGTGTCATACCCTAAGTGTTTAGAAGCTGATCGAGGATGCAAATGAGGAAACAGAATTTTGAAACAACTTGAAAAGATGTAAAATAAAAATGCCCTTTCAGATGACATCATTCAATTATTTCTGTTTTCATCAGTCTTCTCTCCGGAGGTCTCTATGTGCTTGCCATGGCAACCTACAGTGTGGGTGATAAAATAGATCTCTATTTTACTGTATCTTCAAAACCTATGAACTTGATGGATGATGGTGGTAGCTAATAGTTGTGAAGAGGCATCTATGGTGACCAGCAGGATAGTAGTCAGTGAAATGACAGATTTGTACATGGGCTATACTCTGGTTTAATCTTTGACTGTAACTCTGCATCTACATACAAGACTTACAGATGTGCACTGTAAACCTTAACCATACTACATGCAGAAATTACACTCTCTTGCCTATTCAGCATACTGTCAAAGCTGCAGGCATAGGGCTTTGGTAGGCAATGAGCTTTTCATTGTTTCTGTGATCTGTTTCTTCTGTAGCAAAGCTTCACAAGTTCCAGAACCAAGTTTTCCCTCATTTTCACAATATATTTCAACAAATGTCAGGAGTGAACTTCTTGTTTGTGATTTCACTAAAGGTAACACTGGGAATTAAGCAGAAAATAGCTGTCACACACTTTATTCTTTGATGGTGCAGAGTTAATCTGAGAAAATGTATTCCAAGAATCATTCCTGTTCCCAGCTTTTAATATTTAGCTCAAAAATAAGGGAAAGCTAGTGTTACCACTGTGCATTTGTTTGCATATTTGTATGTATTTCCATGGGTATCCTATTGGGACCTTTCATATTTTCAGGCATGTCAGAACCTTTATCAGGCCTACTAGCATGAAGGATTCCAGGTGAAAATCTTTCTTCTTAATTTGAAAAGCTTAAACAAAATTCCAATTTCTATACTAAGATGAACCAGGCTTGAGAGGCTTGGAAGCAAACATTCTCCCTTGACTCGTATCAACAGTTGTAAGACTGATTCCTCCATGAATCAGAGTCTCATAGTCCAAAGCTTCAAAGCCTGCTTCATCTGAGGTTGCATTTTTGGGAACAGCAGTCACCACACAGTGATCCATGTCCAACAATGTTTCTTCAAATGAGAATGTCTCTATTGAATTCAGAGATGAAGAGCACACAATTGTCCCAATTTGAAGATCATCCTTCACTAAGAAGTCCAAACTCTGCAAGTTCACTGTGATACCTGTTCCAGTTGCTTTCAAATAAGCTTCCTTCAGACACCAAATACGAAAGAATGCCACAAAGCCCCGATGCTCCTCAGCCTTTTTCTCATTTGTGAGATAAACCCATTCTTGGTCTGAAAATTGTCTCTTGAAAGTATGAAGAAACGCATCATCTCGATGCTCCACTTTCATCACATCAATGCCTATAGGTCCTGGTCTTTGAGCAGCAAGGACAACCCAGTCACCATGATGAGACACATTGAAGTCAAAGTTGACATTTTTTACATATGGCCTGTTCCTGGCATCACGGTGGATAGTGAACTCAGACCAGGTGAAACCAGATGCCTGACAGATGCACCTTCGGGCCATGAGACGTCCAATAAGGGAGGCTTTGACATCTCGCTGGAACATAAACTTGGCCAAGCGTCTTTGCTCTTCCTCTTGGACCAAGGAGAGGGCATGGGCATAGACATCAGCTGTGGGGTTCCACTGCCCCACATTAAAGGCCCAACGTGCCAAGCTCATTCTTCCAGCAGCTCGCATTGTCTGGTGAGAGGAGAGGAAGACTAGGGGTGAGACATTTGTCAAGTAGGTACTTTCCATGTAAGTACACATAAAGACAGTCACCTCATCTTCCTCTCCCCTTCCACAGACATATGAAAGTCTAAAAATTAAATTGCTATACCAGAAGAATTTGAGCAGCATTAACCAAAAGGAATAGGCTTTGTTTACATAACTTCCAAAAAGCAGATGAAACAGGAAAAGTAAATACAAAGGGTTAAGAGTATAAGCAAAATGGGAACAATAATTTCCATAAATCATGCTGAAATGCTAATTTACCATTTAGTCGTGCCTTGGAGGCTTCTCGGTTTTCCATCTGTGATGTGGCAGAGAGTGCAGCACCATTGAGGAGAGGTGAGTCACACTGTTTATTGTCAAACTGATAACCTAGAAGGAAGGGCAGCAGAGCATATATGACAACCTTGAACACAGTAATGAATCCTACCTTTGAAACAACTAGCCAATTCAAACAGACATACATCAAGTGTCCACTTGCCTGAAATTGATGAAACAAACAGCAGAACTTCTGCCACGATGACAGAGCACTGGTTTAGGTCAAACCCCATATTTGGGAGAAACCTGGATTCCTACTTACTCAGCATCTACATAAAAAATGCAATATGTAATTTTAATAATCAATTTAAAATTTCCTCTACCCTATAAACAAAAATGAATCAAGTCAGATACATCCCTAGTCTACTGAAGAGTAAAATAATGCCTGGTTGCCAACTACAGTCAAACCCCTTCATAGCAAAGAGGCAGGAAAAATGTCCGCAAATTAATTTTCTGTAAGGGAGGGTTTGTTGTAAGTTGGACTTCTTCTTAACATAGGAATTCCATCAGGGATACATAATTGTTTCACACAATTAAGGAGAATTTCATTGTATCTGCTTTCATTTAAATTGGATTTTACTATAGTTTCCTATTGGCCATTCCATTGCTGTCACATCAGCTGATGGGAGCTCTTCACAGAACTATGCCATTTCTTTCTTTCAATCTTCAGAAAAACCCATAACAGAAATCCAGTCATCATCACCATTTCATCAGTATATGTGCAAGCACTTTTTCAAAGAAGCCTGCTGATGGAACTTCATTACTGACTATGCATCATGCATTACTTCTAGATTAGCGAGCCACACCTAACCAGAAATGTTAAGATTTCAATCTGGAACAATTCTGGAACCAGGTCTCCAAAGAGATGCCTATCCCATGTTGTAAAGGTTAATAATTTTAAGTGATCTGGCATTTTCAGCCATTTGTGGTCTGTTACTGACTATGAAAACAACATGTCTAAATAATGATTGCACAGTCATTAGCCAGCTATACATAGGGTAAAGTATCACTCAATATGGCAAAAAAAAGAGGATAACTTTTACCATGAATACCTCCACTTTCACAGGAACAACTTTCATGAAACTTGCAATTTGCATATATTAACAAGTTTAGGACAAAACTTGAAAAACTTCATCCAAATTGACCTTGCCAAAACAAGGCAATGAGCAACTACTAAGAAGAAATCAGAAATTTAGAATGGACAGGTCACGCCAAACTCTCCTTAGCACCTAGTTCTCCTGAGTTCCAAGTCCTTCAGCCTTCTTCTCTGACAAAGACCAAGGGGAAATCTGAATAAACTGTTAACAAACTCTGTTTAGATAATTATTGATTCATCTTTCGTCAACTCTACTGAAGTTTACCAAAGCTACTGACAAGAAAAGGCCAGCCTAAAATATAAACTTCAGGCCATGCTGGATGTGAACAGGATGATATGCAAGCAGAACACTCGAGCTTGTCCTCCACTCCATTACCAGCACAAGTTCCTCTCCATTTCCATTATCCAACTTCTTCCTAGCCATTGCCCTCTAGCTCTGCCTCAGAGGAATAATTTTTGGAGAAATTTAAGATATACTGAAATCATATCCTTTTATATTCAGTGAAAGTTCTATGAATATGGCACAAGTGGAAGTGGATATTTATTGGTTAAAAGTTGTCTTTTTTTTGCCATACCCTATAGATCTAAAAAAAAAAATACATCCGTATATGTCTCCAAGCTAACTAGGGATGAGAGTGAGGCTCTCATGCAGATAGACAAATTTTATGTCCACTGCTGCTTCCCTAAGACCATAGAGTGAAATGGCAAAGTATGGGCTGTTAGCCACATGTCAACCAAGGAAGACAGAGTAGAAATTAGAAGAAACATGTTCCAAAGCAGGATGATGGCAAATTTAGACTTGTGAATGAGCTCAAACAACCATAGTAGAAACTTTCTTCTTCATTGGGATGCAAAAGGAGAAGTATCAAATGGCTTGATCTGGGACACGGATATCATCGATCTTGAGGATCATCTTCACCACTTGAGTAGCTAGCATGATCTGCTGTTTCTTAGCATGCAGTGTCTCAATTACATGCTGCTCCTTCATGTCTGTCATAGAATGGGTAAAATTGCATGAATGCTATAGTAGAATGATCAAGATGTAACATGTTACAATGAATGCAAAATACAATATCCTCACCATTTGTTCCTTTTCCAAGGCAGTCTATGCCCAGAGCTGGATTCTTCTCCCGAAGCTGCCTGGCCTTGATTTCAGTCACAGTTTCCAGTGGTGCAAGCCCAGTATTCTCAGCTAGGGCAAGAGGAATGCTCTCAAGTGCATCTGCAAATGCTCGCAGGGCATACTGCTCCAGATGAGGTTCCTGCTCTGCTTCACGTGCCACAGCCAGGGCACATGAAATCTCAGCTGCTCCTCCACCATACACCACTTTGTTGTCCCGGACAAGGTTTCGGACAACACAAAGAGCATCGTGGAGACTGCGCTTGGCCTCTTCAACTATCATCTTGTTCCCACCGCGAATAAAAATGGTGACAGCCTTTGTGTTGGGGCAGTCCTCGATCACCAGCATATGATCACGAGTTGTTCCAAACGAGATCTCCCGTACACAGCCTGCTCGTCCCAACTTCTCAGGAGTTAGTTCCTGAAAGCGGGGCACAATGCGTCCACCTGTGGCTATTGCAATTAACTGCAAAATAAATAGATATTCCTCATGATTTCATGGTTCTGTCTCTCTACATGGCCATTTCCTTTCTTGAAAATAAGCTCCATTGAAACATGCATGAAAAATAAGGTTCCACATCAATCCCATCCAAATAAATAGATCTCACCTCAATCTCAGGTCCCCCAACCCAGCGAACAGCAGGCAGGTTCTTCCTCAGCAGCAGATGATTTGCTTCATCATCAAAGCCCCATTGACAAATAGCCAGTGTTGCACCAGCATTCTTCATCATATCCAGCATTTCTTCAAACTTGTCTTGTTCATACTTCCGCAGTTCCTTATAATCTTCCACACTGGTCACATCCAACTTATGCTTGGTCTTTGGCTTTGGGGGCTCAAATGGGCAAGTCAGGATGGCAAGCTTTACATCTCGTAGCACCTATAAAAATAAATGATGGAATGAGGACTGATTATGAGAATAACTCTAATTCAAGAATGCACTGTCTTTGGATTGAATTTATACACCTAGAGTGGAGGACAGAGAAAACACAACTTCCAGAGGATCCACATGATCAGATGATCCACAAAACCACTCGTGGAAGATGTCACTACCTGCATGATCTCCTATGGGTAGTTACAAATTCAATCTGAAAAACAGTTTAATGGATCCTGACCTTGGGCATTTGTGGATGCGAGAAGTCCTTGTCAATGACAACTCCCTTGACCAGCATTGTGTCTTCCAATTTTCCACCTTCTTTTCCTTGAATTTTGATCAGTTCAAAGTTCACATCCCTTGTCTCCAAATTGGCCACACTCATCACTGCATTCACAGCTATCTCTGCAAACTGGCGATGACATCGATTCACTCTGTAAATACAGCCAAATCAAGAAAGACTAATGTCAGCATTCTCATATTCCTTGGAGATGACAGAGGGTCAATGTTGTGGCAATCATACATCTTGGACCCAAGAGTTGTCAAGGCAGTCTGGATGAGTGGCTCCAGATTATTTGGGTCAACTGGGAAGGTCTCAGCAATAGCATCCAGATGAAGGGTGGCTTTCTTGGCTGCCAACTCAAATCCATCAGCAATCCGCATCGGATGGATTCCTCGATCCAAAAGATCCTCTGCATGCTCCAACAGTGCTCCAGCAAGTACTTTGTCAAAGAAGCCAACATTAGTAATATTTCCTTGAGAAATGAGAAAACTATAGGGACTAATACATCCAGCTCACCTATGTGGGGAACAAATACAGGCAAACATGGGCAGAACAATGATGAAATATAATTTTAATCTTACCTACGACGCCAGTTGTTCCATCCCCAATCTCATCATCCTGTGACTGCGACAGCTGGACCATGAGCTTGGCAATCTGATGCTCAACATCCATCATTTTGAGAATTGTTGCACCATCATTTGTCACAGTCACATCACCATCTGCAGATACCATGATCTTGTCAAGTCCCTTTGGACCCAAGGAGGTATGCAATGTATTGGCCACCGATCTTGCAGCAAGGATGTGTGACTGCAAAGAAGAGTTCCTAATAGTTTCATAGCCAGGCCATGCCAATGGTGACTCTTGCAAAAAAAACAAGCATATTGTAAGCTACTTTCTGCAGCAGAAATATTAAACATACAACTTCCCAAGCCTGTTGGCTTGGCAGTGATTTAGAAATCAAGCCACAGAGCTGACTGGCATAAGCTTTGTTCAATTTCAAGATAAACAGGACTCAGTCAATAAAATAACCATGTCAGATATTAAGTCATGGGCAAGACAATACACCAAAGGCCACCAACATATTTGCATGATGAAAATAAAGCAGATTCCACTTGGCTAAGTGAAATTGGTTGCAGGTCTGGATGAGAACAAAGTTGGTATTCCTTTGTCTTGTGCACACTGTCAATTCCTGTGAACACTGCATATGAACCTCAGCTTCATTATGTGAACACTAATTTCCAATGAGGTATGAACCTTCACTTCCACTCTGTAAGGTCCAGCAGTAAAAAAAAAGCAGAGCAAGGTATTCAAAACATTCCTTTTAGGTTGTGTAGAGGATTATATGAGAAGTCAAAGAGACTACCTATTTAGCCAGTCTGATTTGTATATAACATTAAAGCATAAATTCAGTGTAAGCAGTACAAAGGGATTTGTACAGGTACATGAGCAATGCAGAAGAGAACAAGGAATGCAAGATCACTACTAGGTTATCAAAACAGAAATATAGAATAAGAAAGAAAGAAACTGAGGAACAGTTGATCATTATGAAATATCTAATATCTTTTTCCCAACATAAGGGTAGGAATTAGCTTTTGATTGTTCTCTTACAGATAAGAATAAGTCAGTTGTAAGCAACATGAGTACAGTTGAGATATGAAATTATTTCCTTGCTTCTATTTTCATGATTCAACCTCATGTGACAATGGCTAAGATCAATGCCACATTTATCAAGGATAAGCAAGTTCTGATGGGATTCCAGCTCACATCCTCAAAGGACTTCAGAATGAGACAGTACAACATATGATAATATACTACACTACAAGGTGCAAGATGAACCTTCACTATGGAATCTAAGGTATTCCCCCCCCCCCTCCCTCCCTCCCACCCTGTAACCTCATTTGAGATATAAGTAAACTCCAACGAAGGGAGGCTCAATTTGACCTTCAATGTTAGGGTTCATCATTTTATATCAAGAGATGGGAGAGGTACGAGCTGATGGATCTCCCCTCCCAAGCACTCTGGGTTCTGCACTAGGAAGTATTGCTTGAATAGGGTGGTTTCAAACCTAAGTTCTCTACCATGTGAAGCAAGCTCAATGCTAACCAAGACTTGGTGTGCAGGTATGTATAATGTACAATACCCCCAACCAAGTAACTCATATGCCCCTGAAGTGATATTTGAACATTGATGCTATTAGGAATTGTGCTAATAATAATAATTTTGGAAATAGCATTATGCATGAGAAAGTACTTCCAGAGTGAAAATTAATGAATGCAGTACCTATATTCCAAGAGAGGAATAAGAGCAATCCAGGTTGGGAATTAACCTCACAAGCATTATAACACATATGCTTGAAACTTGCTTGACTTGCTTAAAACTCCCCCATTCATTAAATGGGGAATCTCAACACAACTTCAGGAGGTAGCATTCTCAGCTAAATTGCTAACATTTTATGATGAGGCAATGGATAAAATGGTAAAAGGGAACCCCTTTGTCTAAAAGTTTTGCTAATAGCCATTAATCCATGATGGCATGAACTCATTTTCACGAGTACGCACATTTCTTCAACTTGCTTGTCAGTTGGCATCAGTCAGTCAAACAACATGAGCTAGTGACTTTATATGTATTCAAATCAATGGCCAATCAGCAACCACTGCTACACAATGCAGAAGGACTAGCAAAACTTTTCAAATGCACCAACCATTTTTGCAAGGCATGGCTATGTAAATAACTTGCTCTTTCTGATGTATAAAGTTTTATGCCCAAAAATACATGATATAGGTATACAGATTCATCTTTAGCAACCAGAACACCTTTTTGGCTGACTGAAACACTCAAGCAAGGAAGTGCGACATGCCTACTGACTGTGGTGACCAGACAACCCAGTTTTGCTATAGTTTTAAAGCCCAGCAACTTAAAATTGAAGACAGTTTTGAAGGTGCTATCCCCTGTTGCTCCTTCACTCATCATAGATTGAAAGTGGCAGAGGATAGCATTCTCAACTGCCATTGTGTGTCATAGTTTCTCAGTCTGCAACATACCCAAGGTTGTTTGCTATTCAATTTACAATGTTCAAGTTCCTCCTGGAAAAAATTTGATTGTTCTGATACTCTTGTTGCACTCAAATGAAAAAAAGCCACCTTTAGCATGAGCTTAACATTAAGAAACTTTCATTTAACATTTAACATTCTTAACATTAAGAAACTTTCATGAGACATCACTTCGTCATCATGGATACCTTACATGACTGAAGCTTTTCAGATGATACAAATGTATTTCTAAGTCACTGTAAGCAAATAGAAGACTTATGCCAAACATACTTTGAGAGCCTCGAGGCCCGTCAGCCGCTTTTGCCTGTCTTGATCCTTGAGGATGATGAACGGGCGTCCATATTCATCGAACGCTAGTGTTCCTAGGCCAACTCCAGCCATTTCTCGAGATAGGACTGACCTTGTACGAGCCTAAACCTGCAATATGTGAATCCTAATGAACGGCTAACTTTATATTTTCATCATAATATTACCTCTAAGGTCAATTGGAAGAAGTAAATTGACCGTTTTTTACAGACTTGGACCAGCCGTTCGCCCGGCTGAATGCTAACGTTAGGGCCAAGTCTGAGCTACGTCTACCATAGGACTAAGGAACTGAAGATTCTATTCGATGACTCACGAATTACTGTTAGGCATAGCCCAAAAAAGTTCTATATTAGTGTAACGTAAGGTTTCATAGGCATGAGAGAAAACAAGATTAACAATGTAAGAGACAGGCGTGAGACCGAACCGATCCTTGAGACCTACTACGCCATATTGAAAATGACGTCATGGCGGCATGCCGTCCCTGTGCCAGAGGGCGTGGTTGCCGTGGTGCTCCAGGTTGGTTGCACAAGGGGGACCGAGTTCCGAGCGGGGCTTATTCAGTGGTTTCACTTTCAAGTTGTACAACCTTTGGGATTGCCCATGACGATTCTCCGGAAATTCGGAAGATTCAGCCTAATGAAGTCACATTGATCCATAAGTTGGGTCGATTGAAAGAAAAATCCCTGAAGTAAGGAAACAGCTGGACGCAATGGAATTTTCACTCAAGGTGCAGCGTATCAGGGGTGACTCTTGAACTCACGGAATTTTGAGTTATTTTTTTCCTATCGATTAATGGCCTGCGGCTAAGATGCGCTTGTAACGTTGGACGTAGCTGAGATCATCTCTCACTGAATCTCATATCTCTCTCTGAAGAGACGATACCATACCTCAGATTCAATCCATCTCTTAACTCAATTTCATGAATACTGTATTTTACGGCAGTAGTTCCCAACCACTTTGGCCATAATTCTCTGGGGTCCTGCTCGTCGGGTGAGTACCCAACATTACCCTTGGATGCGTGTGATGAAAAAAAAAAAGTTCTCATAATTTTCCCCTCACAAACCTGAAATCTCGCGACACACCTGATCTTTGTTGATTGGCGCACTAACGTGCCAAGGTACACTGTTTGGAAAACGGGGAAACAGTGAGTGAAGCTACGTGAGTGAAGCTACAAGGGATATTTTTCCTTTAAGCTTTCTGGTTGCCAGGGCAGCGGAAAGTCGCGCTACGGGAAACCTGTGATTTTGAGATACGAAAAGTCAGGAGTCAGGAGCAGGGCCGTTTCTAGGGGCGGGCGAAGCGGGCGATCGCCCAGGGCGCCAGCGGGGGTAAAGAGGGAGAGGGGGGGGCGCCATTGGAGCTGCTTGCCCTGGTCGCCAACATCCCCAGAAACGGCCCTGGTCAGGAGTCAGGAGAGTTAGTGATATCAAGAGGCGATTTCGCCCATTTACTCGCTCGGCTCTAGCCCTATCCGCCTCTCCCCTTATGGTAAAACCTATCTTGGTGTCGTCGGCAAATTTACTTATCTAAGTCCAAAAAGTACAGCTCCTACTTCTAGTCTGCTCTCATTGCACAACCGAGACGCCAGACTTTCGTCTCGTCTCGGCCTATGCCACCTCTGAGTCCCTACGGAGCCCCTTCTCTCATCGCAGAATTCGCAGATCGAAGCGAAGGTCGAACATCCGTCGTATGGCTTCATCGAAGCCATTCCAGGACGCTCGGAATCGGACATACGTGGATTCCTCGTTTTCATGTTTTCATTTCGCGATGCCCCCTCGAAAGCTTCAATATTTCATCACCTATTAAATACAATGGCCATATGGAATTGCTTTGGATTCTATCGTCGTCGGGATTCACTCGCGTTGTCAGACTTGAATTACGATTATCGGCTGCGAAGACTTCTCTTTTTTTCTTTCTTATTTTTAATACTAATCCACCAATCCACATTAAACGGTATTCACGATTTTAGAAGTGCACCGTTTATGACCCAAAACCCGAACATTGGAAAGTGTAAAACTGCCAAAATATTATCCTATGAGAGAAGCCTCCCGTTCAGTCCCAACAAATTTCTCAGAGAATTCTCCTGCACAGACATCTGCAACTGATAAGCACCTTATATTGCACATTTACAGATAGAAAATCTAGACATGTGAGGTTTTCACGAAACGTCTATGTTCGTATTATCCCTCGTCTCCCTGACAGGACCTCATGGCTTCGCTAACCTTATTTGGTCATGCTACATGCAAATTCATTCCATTTCTCTCAGACGGATCAGTTAAATCGAACCGGAGAGAACGCCTCCCGCCGACGGAAAGCCGCCCACGTCACGAGAAAGACGAATCTGAAACCCACGAGAAAGTCGTTGCAGGGGAAACGACCCAGGAGAGGGAGCCGCGCGCTCTTCCTCTCCCTCCCACGACAGAGGAGTTCGCGGACAGGGGAAAGCATTCGTGGATCGGGAGGCAGGGAGGGGGCCGAGGACTGTGGACCTACGACCGACGGAGAATGTCCGCGACTCGACGAGACAGTTACTCGAGACGGGGCAACGCTCTTGCAAATCGTGCGCCAAGAGAAACAATGCACCTCTCTCTGAGAAACGCGTCCGGCAGAGGGAAACTTTTGAAACCTTTCTTTTCTTTCGTGCGGCGGGAGTGCAATGGGCTGGCATCACTAGGCCTTGCGACTCCCGTTCCCAACGCAACATTCCATCTGGGTCCTCTCATAATTATTCGATGCACGAATTGAAGAGTAATTCCAATATAAAATTTAACTTTTCGAATCCTGTCGGTCCTCGCCGAGGTCTCCTTCCAGGAAGAGAAAAGAAATTCTCCGGCTCTGAGCTGTCATAATGACGTCACAACACGTTAACGCGTACGCTTCGTCACGTCGCTTTAAGACCTTCACATCAGAGCGCGCATCAAGTACACGATTTGTATCTCTTCAACTTTCCGTAAGGAAGAATACGCCATGTAAAAATTTCTTGAAAGTGAGTGGAATAATATCGGTTGCTCAAGTTTCAGTTTTGGCCTGCCGATATAAAACACTCCGATTTCGAAACGCTTCCTGTAACTCACGTGAACCCTACATCAATGGCACGTGGTGTCAACTTCAAGAATCTGCTTACACCGTATAAATAAAGGTATATCATCAAAAAAGAGTTAAACCGTCTTCGACCTCTACTCGTTTTGGCTCGCTTCACAAAACGGTTTTCGCCTAAGGGGACGTCTTTCCCCCTGATTCTGGGGACTGATTATTTTTGCTGTGCCTTCGATGTAATCTTTTCACGTCTGGAGGGCAACCATCGAGAATGAGTTGGCTTACCCGCGACATGCACTCGATAGACTCGGAGGAAAGCGAATCGGCGAACCGAAACCATCAGAACTCCGAGAAAATTCAGAGCTGTAAGAAGTGCGAGAAGGTTTCATTCCGGCAGAGGGTGTCCGAATCACACGGGGTGCACAAGATGGACATTTTTGCGCATACGCAATGGTAGGTTGCAGTGGAACGAAGAACCCGCACGGATGACGCTCTCACTCGGTGAACATCGTAGACACAAGCAATCGCAATCGCGAGTTGTAACTCTCCATACGAAATGAATGCTGACTCGACCAGCGTTAGAGGCACCACGTGCGACACGACGGTCGCGCGCGCTCGTTACCGATGGGACGAAACACTGGGAGAGTCGCCGTCCAGTCATGGATTCAGGAAATTGTGCTTCGCCTTGGGCATCGATGGTCTATGATTCCATAAATTGGTACATGCCAAGTGGCCCCCAAAAAGTTCAAACTTGACATGTCTGCAGACGGAACACAATACGAGATACGGGCAGAAGTTTCACTGCTTTGTTCAACACGAGTTGATGATTGCACGAAAGTTACAGTTGCAATCGGTTGTTCAAAATCCGAGATATAGCACTTCTTCGTGCGATGTCAAATTAGCGAGTGCGTCCGTGAAAACCGTTTGTGACATCATGTGATCCAAAATATTTCCCAGCTTTACGCAAATACGGACGGAACACAATCGTTTCCTGAAAAAAGTAAACATTTGGCAAATGGTACTCTATTATAAATTTCCTCCCGATATTTTTGGATGAGGTTCCATCTGCGAGCATGGAGAGTTGGAAACTTTTTGACGCGCAACAACATATGGCAGATGGTGGTGGGGGGGAGGATCTGTATGGCTCATGGAAACAAGAAGCAATATTTCCAACTTGCCCGAATGCAGAACTTCCATGGAGATCAATATCAGGAGGTAGGAAGATTTGAGGTGATCCTAATTCACCTCGTCCACCCCCGACCCTTCCCTCCATGTGCTGGATTCGCACATGTGCGAAGTTAATCGTGTGTAAAAGGATGATGCTGGTGAGTAATGCGATGAGCGGGTATCTCATGAGAAGCATGCGAAAATGTCTGCACGCCACCGAAACGGAACATCCCCATTTCACATCCGCGAACAATCACCCATGAAGGCCCCCGATGGAAATTGTAATCACCTGCCTTCTTGCCTCTTCCACCGTATAAATCACGGATACGATCGACCTCTGTGAAAAAGAAAAACATCTCTCCCTTCAGAAAGCGAATCGACCGTAAATTGCATCCTTTTCCTTTTCCCTTTTGCGACCTCGATCGGGATGATGTCTCATCCGTTATATTCCCCTCTCCGCCGAAGCTGGAAGGGTCAGGACTCGAACGAGAGAAAAACCTCGCTTCTCGTTCGGTCGCGAAGGTGACGGGACCCAAAACCGATCGCGCCGACCGGGCAAAAGTCTGGATTCCAACAAGAACGGGATCGATGAACGTCTTGATCGCGGGACAAACGACGTCGACGAGCTTCGAAGGGGTCGAAGTAGCATGGAGCCGCATCTCGACACTTTCCCCGGAAGCAGTCCTATATATGGGGAAGGCTGTCCGACCGGGAATGATCGTGTCCTACTTAAAGGACGGATTCCCCCTTCTCATTCTTGACATGTCCTGCATAAAGGGCGTCCATTACATGGTGCAAGACCTATTCAATACTTTCGAACAACTTCATGCGCGTCACTGAAGGGATACCGACTTTCCAATGGCAAATGCGTATTTTATGTCTGATTCCTGAAGATGGTATTAGGGATGAAAATA